TTGGAGAAGTACTGAGTATGATTTCCATGCCTGGCAAATTGGTAGACATCTTCACAATAGTGAAGATTCAGTACAGCTTTTGGAAAATCAAGTCATGTCTCGTGTTTCTATTAGAGTTCTTTGGTGGAGTCAGAGAGCATATGGAAAATTGCAATTCAAACAATAGATTATATTTAGCTTTCCAAAAATCTTTTGACTAAGTCCTTACAGAATACTTTTAACGAAACTAAATTGTTATTAAGAGGGACAATTCTCTTGTGAATGGACAACTGGTTAAAGGAGGGAAAGTAAAAAGGAAGAATAGCCAATTTTCACAATGTTGAGAGGTTGTCAGGACAGCCACGTAGAGGTCTCTCCTAGGACCTGCACTGTCCAGCAGGCTCATAATAACAACATTTGCTAGCAAAACAGCAGGTTTCAGAATAGTTTGGACTAAAACTGAGTATGGAAGAGTACGTTGTTATAGTAGATAGTAAAACAGAAAGTGGAATTCAATATTGACAAAAGATAGGAATAATTCTCTAGTGGAGGGAGATTTTGGATTCCCCTTTTTCAATTCCAAAACTGCTGTTACATCTCCGTCATCTTGAATTATTGGGGACAGTTCTATAACGATGTCCATTTAATGCTATATGGTAATCAAAATGGCAAATAAAATTATTGGGAATTGCTAGGAAAGGACATGAGCATGTATAAAACCACTGAGTTTGTCCTGTATCAAAAACATTATATCAGAACTAGGCAAGGTACAGTAAAGGAGAAGAGGTATAATCAGATGTATAGTATGTACAGCCTTCATAAAGCCTAAATAGACTGCACCACTTCGGGTTTAAAAAAAATATAACCATAGGAAGATAGAAGTATATAAAATAAGTGATATGAAAAAGTTAAATATAAAACAATTATCCATTATTTTTCCTAAACAAGAACTAAGAAATCACAATGGTGAGGACACAGACTTAAACCACCTTAATGTACTGTTTTCACTGAAATATTTTAATTTAGAATAGGCTTAGGATTGCTTTGTATTCCACTTGGAAGCATGTGCTCTTATTTTGATAAATGATATTTTAGCATAGAGACTGTTATGTATGTGTGCACACTGATAGCAACACAGCACAAATAATAGGTATGTAAGCTTTGCTTATAATCTTGCTAATCTGTTTTATCTCAGGTTACTGCCTTGTATAAGAGTGTAGTCTTCATATGTAAATTAAAATACACAGCACATTGTTTACTGTGATTTTGTGCAGTACATATACAACCACACAGTGACAGGAAGAGGACTGCTGCTATCTGCCAAAAGGAACAATTAATATCAAATTTGTCAGAGATGGTGATTTTGTGAAGCTGATACTTTGCTCCTAGCACAAGATTAGGGTCCTTACATATTTTATTCCGTTAGCCCAACAGTAAAAAGGTTCTTCATTCTTAATTACTTCTTCAAGCCCCACAAAACAACATTCTAGAGTGTTTATTAAAATTTGAAAGGTACTCCTGCACTGCCTAGGGAGGAAAGTTATTGCTCTTTTTTTTGCATGAGGATGTGGTTATGCAGTGAAATTCTAAATCTCATTTACCTCTTGTGTAACTGGATTACAGAGGAAAATATTAGCATGAGTAATTTGCTTCCTAATGTGCAACTCCCTCATTTTGAGCCTTCTAACAATGGAATAGATTTTGGTCCAAAATAATAATTGGTAAAGTCTGTGGCTAAACCAGCCAATTCATTTTACTTATGCTTATTATTTATCTGAACTGAAGGTGACTATCAACCCCAGGCAAAAAGCCCTACTAATTTTAATTCAGCAGCTAAGTTAAAGCTAATATCTTAGAGGCAGAACCATGCACAAACAAATATTACATGTAAGATTTATGTTTTAAGAACCCAATAGCATATTGACCTACCCCAGAGCATCAGTAGCAAAGGTAGCAGAGAGGATTACAGGAAGACCAGCCTATCTGTGACACTCTTCTAACTGGAACTGATTCAGCAAAACACATTTAGACATTGATCTGGATTCCTTTACATTGGAAGAAAACAGCTATGGCTATTCATGATAGATGTTCTATTTCCGTGTTGTATTAAGAAAATAGAGAGTACAGAGACACCCCCTGCTATGGATATGCAAATAGGCTGGCATCCTCCTAGAAAAATATGCAATAATTAATGTAAAGTAATCTTTAATCAAATAATTAAGTATAGCAGAAACTGGAGCTAAAAAGATCCACCTCCAGTAAAGAGGTGTGGGATAAGGGGAGTGTATTAAAGAAGGTTGAATAACTAAGGTAGGATGAATAATTCAAGTAGGAAAATTCTGAAGTTGCATAATTCTGATAACTGCTGTTTTCTTCCATTTGTTTCTGTTTTCACACCTCTGGACCTGCCACACACTGTAGTTTCTTCAAAATAGATTTTGTGATGGCAAATCAGTGAGCTTCTGTGACACTACAGTTTTATCACATATTCATTTTTATGTTGAAGATACCATATAACATTTTTAAAATTGAAAAATCAAAATATGGAACTGCCCAGTTTTATTTTGATGTAAGCATTTTATCAAACTAATGCTTCTCTGAGCAATATTGCAGTGAAGACACTACCCTGCATAAGCCTAATCCCTTTCCATAGAAACATTCAGGTTGGAAAAGACCTTTAAGATCATTAAGCCCAACCTTTAGCCCAGCACTGCCAAGTCCACCACTGGACTGTGTCAGATCTACACATCTTTTAAATACCTTCAGGGATGGTGACTCCACCACTTCCCTGGGCAGTCTGTTCCAGTGCTTGACAACCCTTTTGGTGCAAATATTTTTCCTAATATACAACCTAAACCTCCCCTAGTGCAACTTGAGACTATTTCTTCTTCTATCACTTGTTTCTTGGGAGAAGAGACTGACATATTTCCCCACCACCACCATTTGAGCAAGGAAAAAATTCAGATTTGCTGTAGAAGCCAAGTGAATTTCTTTTGTTTCAGGTAGGATTGTTTTTACATCAAATCACATTTTACAATTATTTTGAATGTTTTGATACATTTTGTAATGCACCTGATCTAATGCACAGCTTGTATACAGTACCTAAACATTCATAGCACCTGATTTAGTTAGTATTCAGCTTCTCTCTGTTTATTGCACATTTCTCTCTTGCCACAATTTTTAAACTTCTTTTCATGGAAATTCTTAGTCTCTCCTTTCTACTTCCTTCTACAATATAATACCATCTTCCTCACAGGGAAGATTACCCTGTAAGGCTGGTTGTAGTGAAAACATACATCATGCCTAGGACATGTTTGTGTTAGAGCTCTGCCTCATCGTTTTTTAAGTATGTGCAGCTTCAGTTAAGTTTTGACAGTAAGTTCACCTCCAGTGCTTCAGTCTCAGACTCTTCTGGCAGGCCCATTTCCAGTGGATATCAGGGATGATACAGTGGGTGAGATCTCATGGTAACTAATATAACTACATCTCCTGTTATTCATAAATCCCACTTTATCTAGGTTCTCTTGATTGGTATAAGAAGTTTCCTTAAAGTGAAGGAACATCAGCAAAGTGGAGATTATGATGGTGTTTGTCAGTTAATAGCCAGCTACTACATACAGTATGATACTGCTCCACATACAAGTTTTATCACCAGATGGAGAAGAAAAAAATCTGTTACTGCCTATACTGCTGCTAGGTAAAAACATTGCTTTTGACTCCAGCAGCTGCAGATTTAAAGGCAGCCACAATGACATTAAGGATGACAGCTATTCAGCCACACAGGAACACGTTTTCATTAATAAGGTGCCCAGAATTTGTTCTAGTGTATCGTTTTCCCTATGCTTATTTCAAATACTTTCCTTTTTTCCTCCTTTTTGACAGCGGTGACTTACAGTAGCTAAATAAGGGACATGTTTTGCATAATGAGAAGGCAAAAGAGATTAACTCTAGGTTGTCTTTGCCTGCTGAAATATTTTGCCAAGTCCCATTTCAAGGAGTCTTTTAAATCTTCTAAACGTTATGACTTTGAAGGAATACTTTCCTGTTGCATAAGCTGAAAATGCTTCTGATAATTGCAAAGGAAGGTTTAAGAACAGCATTCAGGTCATGACCACTTCCAGATATATCTTCAGATTAGTATGAGTTGGAAATTTAACTTGTAGTTTTTCATGAGTTACATTGCCAACTGTCAGTGATTTGAAAGGATTTAGGATCCAGTTAAAGCAAATAGCTCTGATACTGCTTTAAAGAATTTTTCAGTGACTGTTTGCAACTTACCGTATTTCTTACATTACTTCTGGATAGGAAACGAAATGCTGGAAGTGATATATTTTTTATAAGTTTTTTAAAAAGCTGTTGTTTAAATATTTTCAAGTATGTATATACTCAAAAAGTCTGAATAGATGTTGGGGGTTTTTTTGGTGAATATTGCAGAAATATCAAATCTCATGTTTTAGAAGGAAATTATTCTTCTGGAGTCTTCTTGCTATCTTCCTGCTAAGTTTGAGCAGAGAAGCCTCATTTCTACATCAAAGTCCGTTCAGGTAAGTGGCTGTGATTGTGTTGGTGTCCAGTATATTGTCATATTCTGCAACATTTTGGTATGTGGCATTGCAAGATGAGACCTTAAAAAACTCTCCATCATACCTATCCTGAGTTGCAGTCTCTTGTTAGAAATATAATTAAAAAATAAGTGAAAGGAACAAACCACATCAAGATTCCAGAGGAATGAAGAGACAGCTGCTTTCTATGCTATTTTCTCTATTTGACAAAAATAAAGCGACCCCATTCCTACAGTAAATTTTACATAGAATGCTTTTCTCTCTGCTTAGTCATTCTGCCTGTAAGTTTTTGAATAACCAAACGGGATATAAAAAGAAGTAACTCCAGATCACTTACCACGCACTATAGTGTTAATATAAACTATCTTGTTAGATTACCATCTGGTGAAGGTAAGCATTTGTAAAGCACTACATTTGGTTATTCCCAAAGAAATACAGAAAACCTCTCTATATGCTCAGTTTATTAAAAACAAGAGGGTTTTCCTAGTTAGCAAGAAAATAGAACAAATAAATTGTTGATATCAAGGTGGAGTTGTTCATCTATACAATGACAGGAAAACTGGACAAAATAATCCAAACTTTTAACAGATAATGACGAAGAACAACAAATCTGGTAAACATTTTACCATAAAAGGGATAATATGTACAAAAATATGCTTTTAGAATTTATTTAAAGCTAAAGGGGGGAAGAAAATCTTTCTTCTAACACTGTTCAGGCAGTTCATGTAATTTATTTAAAAGAGGAAATAGAAACAGTGATAAGCCATCCAAATTAAAAGTGGAAAAAAAAGCCTGGTTTAAAATCATGTTATGAGATTAAGCATCAAAAATTTATAAGAACTCCAGATTCTACCCTGACATTTTCTAGCGCGATGCGGCTGTTGATGGGTGAAGGCGCCAGGCGCGCTGGTACCCACGGGGACATGAGGCCGCAAGTGACTCCCGCACTGCCACCAAGCGGCGGCGGGAGGAGCGCTCTGCACCAGTTGCGGTTTTAAACGAAAAACGACTAAAAAATTCGCATTCTGAGAACTGGTTAAGCACGGTTTTTCTTACTAGTAAAACGTTAACCATCATAGACTGCAGTATGGTAATTCTCATTGCAAAAGTATTTTTCCAGTGCTGAAAAACCTCAAGTTACTAGAACAATATAATTACACTGCTAGAAGTATTTATGACAGTTGCACCTTCCGTGGTAATGGTGTACTGAGGTTTGCAGACAATATGAAGATATCCGGATTTGTTCCACAGATAAGCTGCTTAGAGGCTGCTTCTTTATTCAGTGCTTGCTGGCTCAGACTACCAATTCTGAAGTGCTCATTTGTTCATGTCTCTGTCAAATGTTTAAATTACTTACCAATTACCTAACTCAAATTAAATCATGGTGGTTTCGAACATACTGTCCTAGGAGAACTGCATTAACCGGTTCGTGCATTATGCTCCACACACTACCAGCTTTACTCTCACAGAAGATAAGGCATAAGTGCATCTTATTTTTACTTCCAAAACAATGCTTTCAGAAATTACACAACGCAAGATTTCATACTGACATTACATGATTGAAAGCTTTAGGAAATACATATATTCCACTTCCACTCATATGAAAATGGGTGATGGCAACTAAAGGGAAGGCAAGAGACAGTGAAAAAATAACAAAATACAGATACTTTAATGTAACTGTTTAGGGATGGCTTGGGCAATGGTAGACAAAACCAAAATGACCTTTTAAAAAAGTTAATATTTACCCATTTAAGTAGTGGCAATATGAAAGATTCATCTCTTTGGGATGCAAAATTTACCCCTTATTTTGGGAGAGAACACAGGCTATCAAGAGTTGAAAATTCAATTCCTGCAACTTGTTTCAGCTAGCAAGTAGTGTGACACATAGTTGCAAGACATTCTATAATATTTAAAAGCTGTAAGTTGCAAAAGTATTTTTTAAATATTAATTTTAAAGTGTTCAAAAATATATTTCATAATTAAAATTGTTCCTGATTTAAAGTTTAAGTTTTTATATAAGCATGCTAAAAATACCTAGAACTGTAACTACACAGCTTCTATTTACTATCAATCTTATGATTAACTTTTTCTTAATTTTATTGAGAAATAGAGCTTTGTTCCTTCAGCAAAGACCACTATTCCTGTACAAGTTTTGCATCCCTTAATACTGATTAGCGTGATCTTTGTGCTGTTCTTGCTTTTAGGTTCCATACTAAGCAGTACAAGATGAGGAGAGGCACTGCCACAGAACTAAACAGAGTACAGCTGAACACAGCATTTGGTGCCTGCACCACTCAAAACCATGTGTTAGCCTCAGGACATGAGAGATGTGCTTCAGCACTACAAAGCCTGCCACTAGGTTTACATTGACAGGTATCTTCACGGAGGCAGAGGAAATGGGGCTGCTATTCAAAAGCTAGTCAGCAAAAGTGAAGTGGCACGGGTTGGAATTAAAAAAAGATAAAGTTGTATTGCAGGGCTGTCAAAAACTCATTTCCCTACTGGGAGGGATGAATTAGTGGATTTCACAGCAAGTGCCCACAATTTCATTGCTACTTAACATATTAGCAAGGTCATGTTCTGTCCCTACAACAGATAAAAAGACATTGAATTATATCAACAGCTGAATTCGAATCTGAAGTACTCTTTAAAATTTGCAGATGGCAACAGTGAGCTGAAAATCTACTTCAAGCATTTTGTGATGAACATTTTAAGAATTAGACAAGCACTTTTTTCTTTATACAGAAACCATTTTCCTCATCATTACTCATGTGAAATCTGGTCACTGTGGGGAGTTTGCTTCTGCAATACCTTACATACATTTTGTACTCTTGGAATTGTAGATGCTTGATAAAGTCTTTACCTTTATTATCACATTCCCCTTACATTTATTATAAAATTATTTTGAATAAAGGTAACCATTATCATGTAAGATTGTAGGAAGTGTTCTGTAGCTAGCAGTTATCCTCTAGAGATCAATTGTGATCTCAGTTTAAGACTCCCAAGTAAATTCCTAATCAAGACAGTGTCCAAGACATAGGTAATGGGACTGGGAAATAAAGGAATTAGGCAGGAGGGGGAAAAAAAAAAGGCAGTTCCCTCCCAGCCAGTGCCATGGCCCCTTGCACCAACAGCCATGGTGGGCTTAATCCAGGGAGCAGGGACATCAGAGAACAGGCATGATCTTCACAAAGCTGCCTCTCCAACAGGCTTTTTATAAGTAATACTGTAAGGCCACATAATTTTGATTTAAAACTGCTGCTTACCAACAACGGTAAGAGTTAGTGAGAACTGGAACAGTGTGTGCCAGAATGATTCAATGACCGAGCCTGGGAAAGGGTGCAGCCTCTTCAAGGTGAGCTAACATGAAAGCTTCGTTAGGCATTAAAACAGGATTTCTAAACAAGCTAACAAGTGTTAAACTGTAAACCAGTTTAAATTTCCATAGAAAATAAAAATAAAACTTGCTAACAGTTTGCCTGCAGGACTTCTGGAGTCAGTTTTCAGTATACGCTGAAGTTCTCCAAGTTCTTTGCAGAATAAAAGCAGTGATTCATTCAAGAAGCTCTACTGATTGCACAACAGTTCCTATCTAGGATTTAAGGAGGTTGTGTACACTGGCAGAGCCTGGGGATGAATTAAGCCTTTTTTTGTTTTTAATCTGAGTCTTTTCATAGCTATGTTTAGTATAACCTAAATGCACTTTCAAAAATTAATTTATTAACTTTCCCTCTGCATTTTTTTCAATACCATAACTCATTTCAGACTGACACACTACTATCACACTCAGTGTTGTCAAGCTCACAACCAAACACACCTATCTCTTCTGAACTGTGCACATATGATGCTCATTACTGCAAAACTGCCATGAAGTAGAAATGTATTCAGTTATATCAAAATGCTAAGAAGTGATACCCTGAATTTCAACATCTGAGAAGGGCTGGTTTGGGCTATTGTTTTGAGTTTGATTTGTGTTTGGCTTTTCTCAAAAGAAGCAGGTACTAGCTTATGCAGTAATAAAGACAGGCATTTGATATTGCTATTTATTTCTTTTTAAAAATTAAACAATTCTCAATGTAATATTCTAGCAACATGCTACTAAGCGCTCTATACATTCCTTTCTTCAGAATAATTCTAACTAGATCTTGGCAAGGAAAAACCAAGTAAGAATTACTTTAATAGTACCAACCAGAATTAAACCAGTGGAGAAATACTCCCCTGAATCTGACATTGCATTTATGTGAAATTGCTGTATTGTCTTAAATAACTGTTGAAATACAAATATTTAATTTCTCTATTAGAAACATTGTATGTATATTTTTTCATCTTATTCAGAATAATAAAATAATTTCCATGGGCATTACGGGGAGTTTCAATGAGGGTTCATAAGGCAGGCTTTAAAATAGTGCCTGAACCAGTTCTTCCACAGAGTTCTTCATTAAAATCTACACACTTTCAATAACTATTTTCGGCAGTGCAAATTATGTGTCCTCCAAAAAGTTTTAATGAAAACCATTTTAATTAAAACTAGTTTGACAGCCTGCATATGCAAAGTCAAACCACAGGATACTAAATACTTTAGTAAATTTGCATATCTACAAATAAAACTTCCCTCCAACATCCAATGGAGCAGAAACAATTGTGGTAGCAATTAAAAGATTTTCAGTTGTCAGATTCAAGGTCACTAGTTAAATTATTCAGTCATTTTTACTTCTAGCAAAGACAATCTCTTACAGGCATCTATAGTTTCATATGTTGTTTCCTAAATTGTTTAAAAGCACACTCTTATATTCTCTATTTTACAGTGTTGTGCTTTTTTACTTATCCATCTGTACCAGTTTTTAGCTGAAAGTTATTGTTCAATTTGTACAAATCACCCATAATTTAAACTGTATAATTACATTTCATGTAATCTCACAATTTCATTGGGTAATTAAGTGATTCTCTACAACTTTTTTATCAAAAAAAAGCAATATACAATTAATAAATCCCTGTAGGATTTTCCCCCTCACAAGCACTGACATTACATATTTAAATACATTGAACCAAATCCTTGGCATGTCTGATGAGTTGTGCAGAAATCAGACATGCATGCAAAATGGCTCCAAGCTCACCTGTCACAAAGGACTGGATCCTAGTGCAGGGCTATATCCTCATCACAGAGAGAGGAAAAATAAAGTGTGAATGTCTAAGTTACATCAGCTGTACAGATACAGTGGACCTTCATGCAGAAGGAAAGTCCAGTAGTATGCCCTCTTACTTAAATTCTCCAGCATTTACTGTGGTATTTTAGGAACACATATGGAAACGGTATAGGGAAGTCTATAGCACCAGAGGATTATTCTTAAAATCCTCTCTGGGCAAATTACACTGAATTTAGGGCCAGTTTAGGGCTGGTATTTTAATTTTCAGTAGCTATGCTATTCTAGAAGATCTAGCCCACATCATCATAGTGCAAATGTAACATCTTGTATGGATACCTTCTGGTAACAATCAAACAACATATCTTTAACAAACAGAGGTACAGTTTGTTAGTGAGGTGTGGTACATGTGGTACACCTTTTTTCACAGCTAAGCCATCCACTTTTCAGAAAACATTTTAAAAATAACATTTCCTTTGATAATAATAAAAGTAGATGATATGATTTTTTCATTTGTAAATTAATAAAGTACAGTACAAACTGATTTTTCCCAAGTCAATTCAGTTTAAAATGAGCTGAAAAAGGTTACAATGTTTAATGAAAAATTCGGAATAGTACCTAGTTCACAACCATTTTTTTATAATGAGAAAACTGCCTGTGACCAAAAAAACAACCACATTTTCAAGTGATTTACAGACAGTATTTTAGATGACACCATCCCCTGAAGTCCTGATGTTCTTGCACTGCCAGAACACTGTCCTACTGATGATCAACATTCATCTTTTTCATGTGATGAAGCAGGGCATCTTTTTCCATTTGGACCTCAGCAAGAGCCAGTTTGGCTTTGGCTAGCTCCCGTTTGAGACATTCATTTTCTTCAATAAGCTAAAATGATTGGTTGAGAAGAGAAAGCTGTTAGTATTCCTGCATACTGACAACTTTTTCCATTACAGTAACTTTAAAATACCATATGCTCACATTGATTCCTGGGCGGAGGCTTGCTGGGACTGAGTCAATTGCAACTGATTCCCAGTTAATGAGTGTAGAACACAGAGCTGATGCAATTAGCTCAGAAGGCAGGATAGCCACTGTTTTAGCTATGCCATTTCCATTCTGGAGTGGAGTGGAAATGACCCCAGGTTCTGAGCTCCAGGAACAGATTCTTACGCAGTAGAAAAAACAACCAAATTGATGTGTGGATGTGTTCTGTCCTCATCGATTCAAAACCCAGATATGATTGACAGATTAGTAAGGGTCTGACTAAACAGCCTAGTCCCTTGTGTTTGTACAGGGATGTGTTGTGTTGTACAAGAATGAGGGAGATGGGGAGAATAAAACTCTCTTATAAAACTCCCTCTGATGTAAAGGAAAAGAATAAGTGTGAAGTGTATTACTACCCTGTTTAGAAAGCAGTATTAAATTGCTGAGCCATACTATAATATCCGTGATCCATATTTTCCATCTCAAACAGATTTCTAAACAGAAGTATATCCCACCCCCAGATAACCTAATAATTATGATGATTAAGGATTGTAACATAATTTTGAGGGGGCAGGGGGAAGTAAAAATCAATTCTTAATACCTCATTTTTAAGGAAGTCAGCTGAATCCCTGCTTGATTTAGAAGGTCTGGGAATTTCACAAGTAATCTGTGTGGCTTGGTCCTTTGTTTTACGTCCAACAGGTTCCACTGCTTGCTGCAATGCACTACTTGAATTCATCTTTGACACATCATTCATTTTTTGATTATCTGTATCACAGAAATAGTGCATAGGGGTTTTGTCAAAATTTTTTAAAGGTTGGTAATTAAAAACACCTAAACCAAATATACTTATGATATTAAGTACTTTTATATTAGCCTCTCAAAATCAAATTTAAGAATTAAAAAAAAAATTAAAACTCATAATCTTTTAGAGAAAAGGAGGGAAGGAGCAATATATAACTTCCAGCCTGAAGGAAATAAACACATTTTTATACTGACCAATAGCATCACCACAGAATATGCAATCTGAATAAGGAGAAGTTTGAGAACCATTAATATTGCTATTAATATATTGTCTACAGGTCTCTCTGAAGACTTCATTTACATTTGAAGACACAGTGAGATAAACCTGCTGGATCAAGTTTTTAAATTAGATAATAACTTTAATTACATGGCATTAAAGAAGCTTTCTAGCATTTGTAACTGAAGTCCACTATAATATCTGTTAAAATATACTGTTGTATACCAAGAGGAAAAGTGAGAGTCATGGTTCTCAGTAGTCTAAAAAATACTCTGTGACTGTTTTGTTTTTTAAACATTTCCTTCTAAACAAGAGTTTTGTGTTCATTACCCCCTCCTCTCACCACACACACGTGAGGACTCAAAAAATGTAGCACTACAGACATGTATCACTGATGTGCAGATGGCGTTTAACCTATGCCTTTGAAGTCACTGTACCTGAGTAGTCCAAGACATGTATAGGGATCAAAGCACTTCAGCAAAAAGGGAAAAAAATACAAGCTGAAAGAAACCTTAAAACTATTTTCTAATTATAGTACTAAACTTTCAATGTTTAGTATAAAAAGATGACCAAAATACATTGTACATCTTTAAGAACTCACACAATGCATTAGATAACGTGCAAAAATTAAAATACAAGGAAATCATGCCACAGCACACCTCTGAGAAGTCTGGTCCATCCTTGATATACCTTCCCAACAGGTGGATGAAGGGGGCATTAAGGTCACCCTGCAGCCTCTCAAGTCATACAATCTCAGCCTTCCTCAAGTCATGCAATACATTGCATATTGCTGGATTAACATATTCGGGACCTGGATAAAAGGGTGGGTGCACTCTGCAGTTTTGTGAACTCCACCAAACTGAAGGGTACGTGACTGACACACTGATGGGCAAAGCTGTTTTTCAGAGGAACCTGGACAGGCTGGAGAGATGGACTGACTGGAGCCTCATGAAGTTGAGCTGAAGCTAGTGTGAAGTCCTGCAGTTGAGAGTCAATAACCTCTTCCTCTGCTATAGGTTGGGAACCAACTGAACAGAAAGCAAAATTGCACAAAATGACCTGTAGGCATTGGTCAACAGGCTTTATCATGAGTCAGCAGTGAGCTCTGACAGCAGAAACCAGGGTCATGCAGGCTGTACTAGCAAGGGTATAGATAGCAAGATGAGGGAAGTTATTATTCCCCAATACTCACACCAGTGAGTATTCCTCATCTGGAATACTGGATCCAGTTTTGGATTCCCTAGTGTGAGAAAGTATAGATACTGACAGCAGAGGACCACCAAGAGAACTGTGGCCAGGAGCACATAATGTACAAATGAAGGGCCCAGCAACATGCACTCGTCAAATCTGAAGAGAAGACTGTGGAGTGATCTAAAAGCCACCTTTGCCTGCCTAGTGAAAGGGTATAGAGAAGATGGACCAGACGTCCCTGAGGTGCTTGGCAAGTGCTCAAGCACCTCTGTCTGAGAGGGTAGACAGGAGGCAATAGACACAAGCTGCAACAAAGGAAATTCCAATTACACAACACCAAAAAAAATAACCATAAGAGTGGCAAACACTGGGACAGATTACTTATGGTAGGTTGTGGTATCCTTTTTTGATGCTCAAAACTTGCCTGGACAGGGCATTGAGCAACTTGATCTAATCTGCCCCTGCTTTGAGCTAGGAGTAGGACCAGATGACCTCTAGAGGCTCCATCCAACCTAGATTATGATTCTTTGACATATCTGTGAAAGACAACAGTAAAGTTCCAGCTCTATATGTATTGCCTTGTTGTGAGTATTTAGTATTTGCCCATGCATGTAAAAAAACCCCAATCCTGTAAACACATACATGCTTCATGAAAAGTAGAATGTTAAATCACTATTCTAAATGCAAATCCCAGTGCAACCTGCTGCCGGGACTGCACTGTGATACATAGAATTGGAAATTGCTACTTGCACTTCCTAAATAGTCTTTTATTTACAAAATAAATATTACACAAAACCACAAAGATGGTAACCATCCTGGTAATCTGTAAAGAAAAGCATTTTTTTTTGTTTTGTTAAAATTATCATGATGAAGTGATATGCACTGATGAAACATTTCCTGATGATGTTGCATGCATATTTTTGTTTCTCTCAGGTCGATTCAGCCGTGGGTTATCACAGCCAATATACTATTCAAAAAGGTAATTTTCCTCTATGTGACAACACTTAGAATTAAGGCATATGGCAACAACAGCTTCCACAAATTATCATCAGTTATCTTTTCATTATTAGCCATGTATATGCACAAAGGAAATAACAGTAAGATTATAAAACTGAGATATCAAGGTGCAGGATTATACAAACCTCTAATGACAAAAGTGCCATCATCATTTCTTTCTATCCAGAGTATGTCAATATGCAGTTTTATGGGTACCACCTCAGATGCCTTGAGATTTTCACGTGGACTATCATCCTAAAAAATACATGTATTTGAAAATGAGTTTACCAGGAAATCAAAATAGCTAATTAGGATGTTCACTTAAACATAAGTGGATTTAATGAAACTTGAAAGGGAACATTTCAAAGTAGAATTTTCTAACAGGATCTCCACTAAACTTTGCCTCCATTTTTTTCCCCCAGGGATTGTATTAAAGGCTCAAATTTATCTGTGGAATAAGTCTGCTGAACTCAATATACAGTCTGACTAAAATACTTCAAAGTGTTTTCACAGGCATCTCAATAAGATTATATCCCAACTCAAGACATTCTTTAGCTCAGGAGCCTTCCGAGTCAGAGATAAGAAGCCTGCACTACATAGTATCTGATTTTCCCTTGAACTGTTTAAGGATTGAATGGGTACAGCTATCATTCTTGAGCAGATTTTGTCTTTTTAGAATTTAGCTTGGGATGCACCAGCTGCATTTTAGTTATATTACTGTACTCAACAGAAGAGGAACTTCACAAATTAGTTCTTTGGGGTCTCCCCAGGAAGTCTTTATAGTTCATTACCCCTGTCAAGCAGAGTAACGCAGCCAGTATAATCACAAACTATACATATCAGCATTAAACACATACCAAAAAAGATGTTGAGATATAACTTCCAAAGTTTCTTGAAACAACATCGAGATTGCAGTAGAAAATGCAAACAAGAAAATAATCTTTCTTAAATTCTTCCCCTGCCATAAAACACACTGCATCGTCTTGTGCAGAAACAATAGAAGAACACACTACATCAAATAGGGAATGCAGCAAACATTCAACCATATCCTCTTGCTCCTTATTATCCAACAACTCTATAGAAATGAATAATCTGTATGTCAAATTTGCAGTTTGTCAACCATCATGAATAACTTCACCATGACTTGTGTGCACTGCTGAGCGAGCACTTCAGTGCTTTTGCTACCAAGGAGACTCTTGTTGCCGGTTTATTAATGTACATTCCCATCTCAAGCAGCTGCTTTCTCAAGAACATTTTGCTTAAGTCTGCCTTCTTGCCAATAACCCAGCACAATCCTGGTTTTAAATGCAAATGACTATATGTAAAGACTTTCCTATTTGCATTTGGGCATTCACATTTGTGATACACTGAAATCTGAGGAACAGATCCACAGCTCTTACACAGTGTTTGTGCTAATGCTGTAGTAAGAGCAGCTCTACAGGAATGCCTAAGGATCCTCAGGGGATGGAATGGCTGTATCACTGAGGGAAGGAATACTGATGCAGTTTGAGTAGAACTGGATAGAGATAACAATTGCCCTTCCAATCAAGAATGATCTTGGTAGAATCAAGGCCTTAGCCTCAGATGTAGAACTGGAGCTGCTCTTCCAGTCTTCACTCTTTTCAGAGTTTATATGAGTGATTATTACTTCCCAAAGCAATGGTACAATTATTGTTAAGTTTCTTTGTGTTACTGTTGTTCCACACCACCCAAAAAAGTGTCCTTATCTTTATATTCAATGGTTGTGCAGTACAGAACTCATTATCTCCTTAACATGGCTGAAAGAAAATCCCCTAGGAGAGTTTAGCAGGAGTGTCCTCTTAATGTTACTATTTCAAACTACGGTGGTGAGAAAAGCTTGCATTATTTAGTATCTGTTTCTAGGTAGAGCAGAACATGAAATCTGGGTTGTAAGAAACGGTGTATAAGTGATTTGAACAGGAATTCTATAACCTTTTTCCTTCTTTTGTACTAAACTTTAATTTCTTGGCAAGTTCTAAGGATATTTTCAATTATCCTCCAAGCAGGAGAGAGAAATAACCGCTAAAATCCGTGGTTTGTAATTAGAAAACCATTACTTTGCTAAGGAAAAAAGCCCAATCAGGAAAACCCACATTGTGCCTCTAGAAGCTTGGTATACCTTGCATATAAAATTACCAGACACTGTCACTCTACAAGAGAGACTTAGGAGAGGAGGAAAAGGTATAAAATGTTAATTCATACAAATAGCTTGGTCATGCAGATAATTCCCCTGCAGGCATACCACAGAGCTAACCAAATCTATGGATTTTTAAATTGTTTTAGTGTTATCTAAAGACCTTCCAGAGTACGACAGCAATTTCTTTGAAGTTAACTGTATCCAGATTAGTAGTTTATCATCAAAGAAACAAGAACACAATTTCTTTTAAACCAGTCAAATATCTCATTGTTAACATACTTTTAAATTAATCCTTGCATTAGAAACTTTTATCTTCATAGGCATCACTTCTGCAACAGTTTCATCTTCTAGAAAATGCTGAATGTTTGTGAGGGAAGATGTTAGAAATTCAGCACTGAAGTTCTCCACATGACACTGAAGAAAACCGTTTTTTACAGCTAGCAGTGAATGTACAACAGCACTAGGACCGTTTTCCCATCTCAGACTAATCTCAGGTGTTGAATTAACAGATCCAGCCACAGATTTACAGTCAGAACCTGTTGCAAAAGGAAAACAAATTTGCATTAAAATTTAGCAATGTACAAAAAACAATTATGATGTAATTATTTTTGTCTCTATTGTCCAACTGTTTGTCCAAAAAGTACCTTAGAAGTATTATCCACAATAGGCAGCATTACAAATGCACAACTTCAGAGCAAATTTCCAAGCATATCACTTCAAAGTACAAAAAATAAACTAAGAATACATACAAGGACTAGTACCTCACTGTGACAACAGAAAGGACAATGCAGAAGTATCACCATCCACAAAAAAATTTGTGTTTCCTTGGTGCCTTGACAATGGAAAACCAACTATTTTGCATACTTTTCCACTAACTCCTTAAATTTTAATTCACAAAAACATTTCAATCAGTTCTCTCTCTCAGGAGAGCAAACATTTTCTTGGAAAGGCTGAGTTTCCTAACTCAGAAAACACAAATAGCAATGCAGTAAGATGGAGAACATGGCTGCATAGTGCTTCCATTTTTTGAGTGGCAGTAGATTTGAACCTTAAAAACCCCTGGCAGTTTCTTCTTAATTTCATTATCTTTAATCAGTAAGGATAACTACAACATTCAACTACAAAGTTCTAAAAAACATTTAAAAAAATCTGTTACATTATACGTTAGATAATAATTTAAGGTAACCAGATTGTGGGGGGAGTAGTATCCATTTCTTGTACAAAAAAGCAGGTTCACTGCCAGACGTAACTACACCATGAGATTCTCAAGTCATCTGATCGTTACGATGGCTAACCTGCAGAAATTATCTGTAGGACAAAATACATAATCACAGTAACTATACAAAAGCAAGCACTGAAACTTGAAAGACAGCTCAGGAAACTAACTCAAGTAAAATCAAGTGAATTATGTCAACTCAACATGCAGCAGACACTGCCTGGAGCTACCGCAGCCTGACAAAGTAATTAATTTGCTTTCCTATCTGTAGATTAATTGAGTTCCTCTTTCTGTATAGCGCCCAGTTCTCATGGACAACCTGGCACAGCAGTACAGTCTTATCTACTGGCACTAGAGTGAGAGCAGATAGACACATTGTCAATCTGGGCTGACAAAAAAACCAATGGGAAGAACTGTAAATGAACATGAGAATCTTCAGCCTCTGTTATGAACCAGAATCTTTCCCTTTGTTACCTCTGTGAATAGAGGTTTCCACAACACCAGCGGCCATGACTCCATCCTTCAGTCATTCCAAAGTTTAAGAACTGCTAAAACTCATATTCTTCCTCCACACCCCCCTCCAAAAAAACCCCAAACCAAAACAAAAAAAAAAAAAAAAAACCCAAACAAACAACCAAACAAAAAAATACCCACACTGCAAGTATTAGCTACCTCTTTTGGCTCTAGTCCAAACAGAAGCAAATAAGCTACCAACAGTCCTGGAGAAAAAGGAGGGCAGCTCTCCAGATGGGAGAACAATGATCACTCTGTTCAATGAATCTCTGCAATTGGTTTGGGAAAATTTGTTTCCCTCAAGGATTTATATTCTTCCGACAAATACAGATAAAGAAATACACAGTATGTGCATTAAGCATTTCTGCACCAGAAAATGCCTGCATCATTGCTGGGAGAATCCAAAATGCAGAAAAACAGCAGAGGAAAAGACCACACATTCAATCTCAGCCATTAAGTCAATTTTAGTTATCTTGCAGATATTTGAAAGAGGCAGAGTCAAGGGAAGATGGAGTAAAAATTGCATTAAACAATTTGGAAGTTGCTATGAACTGCTGTTTCCTTCTTATAAGCATGTCAAGCATGATAAGGTCTCAGTAAAATCACTGTCCTTCCCACAGAACCTCTGCCATATTCCATGCCCCCTTCTTTTGTTACTACGGCCAGACAAGATCTGATAAAGGCATAGTCCTGCATCCAGCAGGGAATTGCACAGCTGCCACATTGCCCTCAACTTACTGTAGATTTTAGGCACATTTTTCCCTTTCTAAATCTACTGCATTAACAGTATAATAGGTTTTAAATGGTTATTTTCACCCAGAACACCTTCATAGACTGTAATTATAACTTGAGTATTCACTGCTTTGCATGGTTCTTCAGTTTACTGGTTACAACTGTTAATGCAGCACTTAAATTTTTATTAAAGGTCATGGAGGAAGAGTTGCCTCTAGTGGGATATTATTGTACACATTTGCTCACTTGTTCTTTTAGTGATTTTTTTTTTCTGTTAACTCATTTAAATGTTTTTTTTTTAATCCAGTTCTCAAGCTTTTCCCCCCTTTGTTCTTCTAATAGAATAAATGCAGGAGATGGGAAGCAGCAGTGGCTGCAGAAAATTTCCTGACTCAGCAGAAGGCATAGCCCTGCGGTGGAGAGATGTACATTACAGAATCAGAGTGACTAGCAATGTACAAAAAAAGTGGTGTTGGCCCACCCGTTCAGGTACCCACCGAAAAGAGGAAGGAAGTATTTGGAGATCCCAATCATGTTATAACCTTTTGTCCCCAAAATAATCAACCAGTGCATAAGCCTCTCATAATCAGCTAAACCAGAGGAAGCAGGTTCTAGTTGTAGAACACACATGAGAGCAGGAAGGTGATATGTTCGTACTGTTTACTCCCTCTGGCTTTTACAAAGGATATGGCAGATAACCAGAAATCAATTTGCCTGCTGTAAGAACTGAAGGTCAGCCATGAGTCTTCCCTGCTGGACCTCCTACTTGCCTTGATACTTGAATACAATATGGTGGAACAGCTGCTCCAGACAGCAGCTGCTGGCAACGGCTCAGCTGACCAGTAAAGGGGTTCTTTAGCCTGGGCATCAGAGGCTGTGGCACCTCTGAAGCTGAAGCACGACCTCCTGAACAAAACCCATGCTGCTAGAAGGTTGAAATAAAACATAGTAGCCAACAGCTGTTATAGCTGTTTCCCAGGAAAGGAGATGAACCAGAAGCAGGAAACAGGTGCATCAGGGATCTGCCCAAAAACCCTGTGGCACAACCGAGCTGGCATCCAGCAATCCATGTGGAAGGCTGGCAGAGGGGAGCAAAGAAATGTGACGTGAAGTGGCATACCAATACCTTCTGCCAAGGAAAGAACCTCACTGTATGAGAACTTGGTTTTCTGGCAAAGAATGTATGTGTTGCATTCGTGCCCAAGAAGAGCTCTGACAATACACTGGTTGATCTAGTTGTGCAAATGTCTGGCATGAAACTACACTGTGTTTCTATCAAGCTTAAAAAAACAAACACCACCACCACCCCCCCCCCCGCCAAAAAAAAAGGTGGTCTGTCCTCACAGCTAATCTTTCCTAATAGAGAATAATTTTTTAAGTTTTCTTAAACCAAATATTATAAGTCTGTTTAAACTGTGGGTGTAATTGAATCTAGAAAAACAGATCTTGAAAAACAGGAACAGCCCTTCAAACAAAGGTACATTAAGCAAAGTGTTATTAGGGACATAAGGGAGTTCCATCTTCACAAAACAATAACACAGTGTAATGCGTTGTGGTTTCACCCCAGCCAGCAGCCAAGCACCACACAGCCGCTCACTCACTCTCCCACCAGCAGGACTGCAGAGAGAACTGGAAGGGTAAAAGCTAGAAAACTCATGGGTTGAAATAAAGACAGTTTAATAGGGAAAGCAAAATCCAAAACACAGCCCCATACCAGCAACTATGAAGACAATTAAGTCCACCCCAGCCAAAACCAGCACATAATGCAACTAACTTCATTTTTTAAAAAGCAAACTAATGACCAGAATTCAATATAATGCATTTTTTTACCCACACAATCATAAATGGTACCATTTATTTCCTTCCCTTTTAATGTATCGTAAGCAGGAAAGAAATCAGAGTTTTAAACCAGCATAAAAATGGATGCTATTGAACTAATATAAAACTGTGTTTGCATTTTTATTTACTTAGAAGAAATATTTCCAGCTTCAGTTTCACAACACTGAATTGGTAGTTCTTACCAACAGTTCTGTTGCACAGATAGTGTCGAACACCAATGTTTCCCAACTGATTTGGTATCACTTGGTTGACCTGTAGGCATATTTCTGTGTCTTCACCCCTGATGTCGATTTCACCATTAACACCAAATACTTGAAAAACCACAACTGACATCTGTCAATAAAACCAAGATAGAAACACTAATCACTATAAATTCATCTTATAATCTTATATTGTTTTAAGATTTGTTTAAACCTTTTCCATCACAAACCCCTTTGTATCCAAAACCCTCACTCACAGAAAAGCACAAAGTTTTCTCACTTTGTCTTTTCTTTTTGGCTTCATAATGTTCAACTGTCCAAAGACAGACACTCACATTTATAACCCACTGACACCAATTCAGAATTGGCTAGAAAAGCCATGAAAGTGAGACAGACTTTTTCCACTCTGACAGAGAAGCAAATGATCTATACGACACCTGAAATTTCCTAAGGCTGCATTCAACTTTACCCATATCATAAACACAACCAAGCATTTGTGGTGTTGAATCAGACCAGGTTAAAGAGCCAGGAGAGGGTACTAAACTTTGGCTATCTGCATAGTAGTCAGCCCTTTTTCTCTATTTATTCGGTTGCAGTATTTTTTTAAAAAGAAGTAGAAGCCAGTTTTAAATCAGCTTTGGTATCAGAAGGTGTGTGTCCATCATCATTACTACTGTTTTGGGCTCATTTTTCTAATGACTTTTTAGTTACAGTCTACAAGTAGAAAAATATGGTAAAATGTATTTGCATAACAATCCGAATGAATTATGTTTTTTCCATATTACATATATGCACAGGTGATTGAGAATTTACTTAAAAGGAATCAATAATTCAAGTGAGCTGCTTTTTTTCATTTTTTAAAAAATGAAGGCGATCCACAAATATTTTAAAGCAAAGGTAGGATTACATGACTAACATTACTGAAAAGGAAAATACATCAGCAAGCACACAAGATATTTCAGTAAATTCACTGTCTTCCTTTGGGCCCATATTGTCCTAGGTTTCCAGTTCATGACCTTAACTGATAGAACACAATTTGAGAAGCATTGATTAGGACCAGGATCAGCATGGAATAAGTACACAGGCAGATGAAAGAACTGGATCCTGCATGGTGTCTCAGGCAAGGAATCTCTCTCTACATGTGCTAGTCTTATAACCTTCTCTAAACACTGGGCATTGTCCTGACATAATCCTGGACAAGAGGCATCTCTGATCTGACCCCGTAGCACACTTATTACCGTGTATTTGAAAATTCTACAAAATGCTACCAGAGCTTAGGAAACATCTTCATATTAGAGATGTCAGGGTTATGGTGCTTTCTCTTAGCTATACGTGATAGTGATGATGAAAAGCTCATTTTAAATATCAGATTCAAGAGAGTATAAAAGAATGTGATGGTATTAAAAAAATATTGTTATATACTAAAGCATAAATATTTTCTGACATTTTTCAGTGGCTGCTGTCATTTCTCAACAGTGGCTATAAAGATAACAAAGAGAATGCTCAGTGGAACTTGGATTGTAATCTTCATTTGTACTTAACACAAGTGCACTAGATCTGTAAGCTTACATAATGCACTAACAAAAGCTGCCAAAATTAGTTGAAAAATCACCTCTAAACCCAATCATTTTAGTTCTATTTTAAGGTTTAATTTACTGAAGCATGTATTCTCATGGAATACAATATTACCATTTCTTCACTGGTCTCATGGGCATTCTCTGAAGCAGCGCTCAAGGCATCTGGAGATGACCCATCACAATTTTCAATCACTGTGCCTCCTTCATGGGCATTTTCTGATGGGCTTTGATAGTTTGTGGCTGTAATACCTTCCGTATATACATCAGAAAAAATGCAAAGTTAGCATAGCATAACCTGAATCACTCCTACATTAAGAATAAAGTCAGTGTTTGTTACTGTATGCATACATTAACTCCTTTTTTAAGATGAGTTGAATGCCTTATTAAACAAATATTTGTGACTGAACTGCCAAATCCATTCCTCTTACAGAGAGTTCAAAGTTTTAGATGCTATACAAGTAAAGCAGAATATAGTGACAAAACCAAAAAAGCAGTCTACATACATTGTTAAAAAATTGTGAAGGGCAGTTTTTAATCTTCCAAATCAAATATAAATCTGATCGAACAGAAAAAAAAAGTTACAGATTCCAAGTTGTGTATCTAAAATACCGCACAGTGCCTTTAGAGCAAATGTTTGTGGTTTTATGTTTACAGAAATAAGCTACATATATTTTCATTAGAGCAATCACGATATTGTTTCCTTGACAACTAGAAAGCATAGAGACTTAAACAGTATTTAACTGCAGGTTAACAAGCCAAAAAGACATATAAAGGTTATTTAAAATAAAATATATATTTTATGGCATACTCCCACACAAGCACATACAGGAATACTCCTACAATTCAAACATATAACAGGTTTGCAAGTGAAGCAGTCTTCTCATTATTGCTCTAGACTGAAGAGAAATCCTACAGAAAAAAAGTAGTCATTATTTATTCAAAGTAGAATGTATCAGAAAAGAGGTACCAATAAGGTCTTCTTACTCTATTTCCTGACATTAGAAAATTATTTAATCAGTATATGCACAGATGAGCAAAAATTGGACAAATACATGCTGTTAAGACAGTCAACAGCTAGGAACTGCTCCTTAAGGAACAAACTGCAAGGAGACTACCAAATCTATCTGCCTGGTAACTAGCATGGTGAGTATTAGTGAAAATCCATTTCTTTTTCATCTACTTTTAAATTGAAAGCTTCTTTACCACTTCAAGCATAATACTGATTCAGGGAACAACCTGTAAATACTTCCAGCCAAAGCAACGGGTTTTAAGTAAAGCAGGGAACAAGTTCTGCTTAATTTAAAGTTGGAACACCGCACTTCAATGCTCTTACTTTCCTCAAGAGAGGAAAAAATTAAGTAGTGTTAAGTACCACTGCTTAAGTAGCATATCTTATTTTCCCTTGAAACGATGTTTGGTGAATATACTTAGTATTACTGACTGGTGAAGGCAACAGAAATAGTCTTGTAAAGTATCCAGGACTAGAATCCTTTTGAGTATTATTTTAGTTATGAACAACATTTTTGTGTATTGCTTAAAAATATTTTGTTCAACCTACTTACCTTTCTCCAGAAAGCTTTGACTGTCACTTCCATCACTCTCTATCAAATGATCCTCTAGCATCATGCTATCAATAGAGATGGTATCCAGAGAGACTTGTGATGGACTTCTCTTCATATTTTTGTAAGAAACAGAGAATGCAGGGAGGTTGGATGAACAGCGTTCCTTAGGCTTAGCACTTTAAAATTAAAGATATTAGGAAATTATTATTTCAAATTAAAGGACAGACATAGAAGTTACTTAAAAAACTTGCTCTAAACTAGGCAAGATATAAAAAAAATCAGATTACTGAATAATCCTTTGACAAGTAAAAGAACTAAATGTAGAAACGACATGCATTCCTCTGGGTATTTGTGTCAATACTTTTCTCAATACATATTTTATAACATTTGAACTGAAAGTAAATAGTTTAAATCAATTAACTAACACTTCCTTTTAGCTTTCACTGAATGCTGGATACTGCATATCTTTCTATATACTTTAAAAATTTTCATCAACTAGATGTTCACTTCCCGACTGCTAAAAGTACTAGAAGTATGTGGCCAACAAGATTTCTACATATTTTCAAAGAGTAGGAAAACTGATTTAGTATTAAATCTTCTATACCTTGATGAAGACTGGGATGCAAACATTTTAACTGAAGTCACTTTGTCTTTGTTGATTTCAAGCTCTTCAGATTCTAAGGCAGTTTCTGTTTCCAAGTCATTGACTTGGTTAGGACAGCCTTCAGTTGTGCCTTCCTGTTCATTTAACTTATTTGAGAACATATTTCTGTCATCCTCTTTATCAATGAAAAATTCAGTAGAATCTTCTCTCTTATTTAGAATGGACACTGAATCCCTAGGATTCAAGCTACTTTTCTCACTTAGAGGTCCACAGACCTCCTCTGAATCACTTCTACTAAAGAGTCCACTGCTTCCTCCTTCACTTGTATCTCCCAAACCTTTATCTGATGCATCATCTGAAAATGACATTCCTTTCTGAAGATCCGTATTACTGTCTGATTTAAACAAAAGAGGATCTATTAAAATTCCTTTATTAATTTCAGCATTCAGAGGCTTGCAGTCATTTACATAATTAAAATTAGTAATACTAGCTTCCACTATCTTACTACCAACTAATTTACTCTCTGAAGTAACAGCTTCCCCATTTCCCACAGGGGAGAGTTCTGATGCCACAGGACTTCCTTCTTCCACAACAGGAGACTTACAAGGGTTTCCCTGAGTCACTGGATGGAGTAGTAAAGCTATTTCTGCACTTTTCAGTAGGATCCCAATGCAGACATCTGTTTGCTTTGCAGGTTTTCCTGTCACTGCTTCTACGTCATTCCTTAAGTTTTCCAGAAGCAATACAAGAGATTCATGGAGAAACAGCAAAAAAAGATACTGGTAGTGATTGATCTGCATGCTTACATGTTTTTGAACATGGACAAGAACATGTACATCTGCATCAGAGGAAGAGCTTTCAGAAAGCACTCCTGAAGTCTCAGACATTTGAATGCCATTGGTCAAGGGCTCTGTCTCAGTGCTGTAATATTCCTTTAGAAGTTTTTTACGTTGCAATCTATTAGCAAGATCACTAGATTCACTTCTTGGAATGTTCAAAGCTGTCTGATTATGCGATAAAAGCTCTTTTTGAGACTTTGCAAATCTTACAGGCTGGCAAATCCAAAGTGAAAGCGGGAATGAGTCCACAAAGCTTATTGGTCGGCCTTTCCCACTTTTCGTTCCTTCATAATCTATCCAAAACTGGGAAAAATGCAAAGCCCAAACATCAGTAGCTGCAGATGTCTTTAATGCATATTTATTCAATTTTGGGATGATATAACCTTTATAAACATCATGCATTTTAGTGTCTTGTTCATGAGCATGTCTCTGGAAGATTGGATGCAAAAGATTAAAATTTTTCTGGGACTTAGGAAAACTGGTGAAAGTTCTACTAAAAAATTCAGAGTCTTTGAAGTTCTGAAACAAAGCTTCTAGATCAGAGTGTCTGCAGTTTGGTGAGCATCTGGTATTCGTAGCAATCATCTCTGAACTTTGAATGGAAAGTGCACGAGGTTGATCTTTATGAATTTCAGATTTGTTTTCAAATGGGATGATGATCTGCAAGGGAGAAATATATTTGTCTAGTTAGAAATATGTAGCTTAAGAAGGTATACAATTAAAGAAACAAAATAATAGCCACGACAGCTAAAACAAAGGAATATAATTATAATTTTATGAGAGCAGGGATAAGTCAGGCTCACAGTCTACAATTTACGCTTCCTCTAATTTTTAAGAAGGATGCTGTGGCATCTAAACCTCAATGTTTGTACAGAATGTAAGGGTCTCAGGCTTTTCCTATCTGAAGGTCTTAAATTTAGTTCAGCTACATTAGGCTGAAGTGTTTCATTTCTTCAACTCAGAAACAGTTTGGTAGAAAGTTTCTTCAAGTGTTTCAAAAATTTATAACTTTGAAAAACAGAGAATTATAATTTGGAGTTCAATTTGATTTGTCAAATAAGGTTTTTCACTACACTGAGTACTACAGTATTTTATTTCTATATTAAGGTAAAAGCAAACACCTAAATGTGCTAATGCAGCTAATGTTCCTAATATTGCAGAATACAGAATAGGTATTTTTGACAATTATCTGATAATAATAATACATTTTTTCATCATAAAAATAACAATATACTCCAACTCCTAAAAAACATCAAAATAGTGCAGTAAACTGTATTTTATTTAACTTGCATATTTTTAGTGCCAGTTTTAACGGTAACATATTTTATGCCAAATCCTGTATCTGATGTTGTTAACATGGACCTTGGCCACACTAGTTTTGGTACTATCAGTGATACTACCTTCTGTCACAACATCTCCATGCTGAATCTAGAAAGCAGGAGTAAAAAAAAAGTCATCTTAATGAAACTTAAAGATAGGAGTAATGAAGCTTCTTCAAGTCCATACAAGGACTCAGAACAAAATAAAAAAATAAAATAATTAGTATGATATATAAACATCAAGCACACCATTAAAATAGTAATAATTTGCTAGATTAAAAATAATGCTCTTAATACAAGGATGATATAAATAATTTGAATCAAGGGGTGAGGTATTTAAGAATACTTTAGCTTCTCTTAGTTTAGTAGGCTATTCACAACTAATAATTCAATATCAGATCAATCTATATTTGCAGTTGTCCAGTTGTTAACTCTTAATAACTATTTTTATTCAGTACAAACCATGTCCTTTTAAAGTTCCATTAAGTATGTACCAAGAGCCTTAGGAAGATAAAGATCTCTCCATAAACTGACTTTTTAGAACCCTTGAAACCTCTCCTGTGAGCACCATTGAAAAGACTCATTTTGTTCACCTCTGAACCTTGGAAACCATGCAGTGAAATGCCCAATGCAAATGGGGGATGAAGGAGGGTGAGAAGTTTATCTGCTCGATGATTCTTTTTCTACAAAGAAGGAAAATAGAAGGGAAGCAAAAATTTGATGCTCAGTTGCATTAACAAGCACCACTCCTCTGGAATAAGCATATAGAGAACTTGTCTACCTGAACTACAGCAACAGCCAGCAAGAAACAGAAAACAGTGAGAACGGGTTTTGGAGAAGGAAATAAACCTTCAGATGAACTGCTTTCTTTGCTCCAGGCTCTTGTTCTTTTTCTTGTTCACTAACAAGATGAAAGAGATATACTTACTACAAGCAGAGGAACAAGAGAGGGCCCTTGCATTAATATGGAGTAAAAATATGACTTTTTTCACCAGTTACTTTTACTTTAGTGCTCAATATTTTTTTTCTTCTGCTATGTCAGGTTCACCAAACACAGGGAAATATTTTGTTAATACTCCCATTCAGGTCTTCAAATACAAAACCAAAATACCCCTAGGACACAGATGAAGTACTACAGAAGACAGATGTCTGTCTTCAAACCATCATATTCTGCATAGTTTTTGAGAGCAGCGTGGCTTATTGCATGGGTTGTTTGTTCATTCATTGGTGTATTTATTCCTTAAGTTGCTTTTCTAATAGCTTTTTAGAATAAGAGAAAAAATATTTTTCCAAGAAACCACAAAACCTTCTTCAATGACAGCGTACCTTTAACATTAGTCCATCCACTCTAACATCAACATGTTCATCTGATTTTGAATTGTCATTTAACTTGTACATGGCCATGAACTGAATAAGACTCTGTTTCAAATCCAACACAAACTGATTTAGCCAAAGAATACTTCTCTCATCCAGGGTGAACTGTAAAGCATTTAGCTGGCCATACAAATTTGGACATGGAACTAAAAGAGAAGAGAAAACAAAACTGTGAGAATAAGTAAAATGTTTATGGGTCAGGTTTTGTTTGCTTTTTAAACGGGTGCGGACTTACATTTTCACCAGTATTTTTCATCAGAGAAAGAACACAAACCCACTCCTTTAGTCTCACGGAAGAATAAATTGTTAGGGGATACCTGAAGTGATGCTTCTTTCTCTCACTTCAAGCAAGTGACTGAATTTTTGAATGTAAAAACTAATATTAGAATAGAATCAAGTCTGAGGAGAGGGAGAGAATGTCCTCATTACAGAGGAAGGGCAAGACCACAGAGATTTGTTGTCCTCAAGTCCCATTCCCAGGAAATCCACTGACATTTCTGTATATGAAACAGGGTCAGCCCCAGAACACATTCCCACAAATAACTCCAGCAGATCTTTGTTGCATCTTAGATACTACTGCAATAGTTTTAGTTATTTTATGTAGGCAGACAGTGAAACTGCAGAAACAGTATGTGGATATTGGAGAATGAATAATTAATGTGCCAGTAAAAATGCTGTGTTTCCAGACTTACAAACCATGTTTATAAAAAAGAGTATTACTAGGAGTCTGCCAAGAGCAAGCACTGTGGAAATGGAACAGTGTTGTGGGTTTTTTTCCATTTTAGAAAGCTACTACTTATTTCCAAGCTTTAAGCTTCAAAAAGGTGGAAGTAACACACAAAATTTATGCTTCAGTACAAAAAAATGAGAAGTCTTACTAGGAAAGTCCTTTCCATCTGGATAGTAATATTCAGTGAATTCAATATGAATAGCTGGCATTTCTGGTGGAAGATAAAGTGACTTTTTATTGCAAGAGATCAGAGCTTTAGGGGAAGAACGACACTGGTCTGCTGTCGAAACCTGTAAAAGATAAAAGATTAATTTCATTAATATATTACATTTTTATGAATTGTTAGGCATTTGTAGTTGACAGGTACTGTCCCTAACAGGGTCATATTCCACTGCTCTCAGCTGTAGATCCCCAACTACAACACCCAATGCGAAACACCTAGTTGCCTTGTGGCAGAAGCAATCCCCATAGAACACTTTCACAAGAAAACGATATAGTTTTAAAGGTATCAGATCCCCTTCCTTCATAGGAGGCAGGAGGTAGCAGGTCACTTTCAAAGGTGTTCAGTAGAAGCCTAGAATGATCTGATTATCTTTACTGCAAACACTACAGCTCCTGTTTAAGCAGTTATGCTCGGATTTAGTGTGTTTGCATACAGTCTGTCCCAAAGGATCCCATATCTAGATAAGGGATAGATAAGCTAGATAAGTTTATTACACACATATTAGGAAGTCCTTGTACTGTTGTAAGGACATATTCCAGTACACAGGCCAACTCTCAAATACATGCTAGGCAAGGTGTTCAGCATGCACCTGGCAGAGATATGTGTGCTTCGATATGCCTGAAGGGCTACTTCACGGGAGAATCAAAACACCATGGAACAGTAATCCTCTATTTCTGTCTCCTTACAATGTAAATTAAGGAACATGAAAAAAATCACGATTTGATACGTATTAAATTTCTTTGAATGCATCCCAGTTTAAAAAGAATGCTGTCAAAATAAAGCTCTTTCATTCAACAGTTAGTAGGTCAAACTGCTAGTTTGAAATTACCCAGCATATTAATATTGAATATATGATGATGCCCACTTGAATGAGTTTCACTGGAAATTGCATAGAAATAATGACAATTAAAAAAATTGAAAATGTGTTTCTGTAGAGGAGGAGGAGACAAGCATCTGAAGAGTAGAAGGCAAATGGAAACACCAACAGTACAAAGCAATATTATAAAACCACTTCAAACCCAGATGAAGGCTCCTAGTAGCAAGCTGCAACCCCTCACAATACCAGAAGTGATATGGAAAAAATGTGTTGAAAATTGGAACAAGAGCAAGTAGAAATCACAATGACAAAGGGTGCACACTGAGCATTTTTGTTAGGACCTGAGACTTAGAGTAGATCCTCCCATATCCATACCATTCTGCCTAACAAATATAGTCCTTCTCTACTCCACTCGCCTCAAAAGAGTGAATCTGGACCACAACCAGCAACTAAAACTATCCCCTCTAACAAAGGGGAGGGGGATGGAAATGGTTAAAGTGTCTACTCAAGATATCACCAGGGAGGGAGGGGCTGAAAAAAAATTTTAAAAATTTAAAAACCCTCAACATTTTTTAATGTACTTTGAAAAATATAACAATAAGGCCTGGTATACAGAACTGCATATTAAAATATTGGGTACCTAACATAGTACAATGAAAAGATCAATTTTTAAATTTCAAATTCATAATTTGGGGAACAGTAGAACTAGGATCCAACACATAACTGTGATAGTGCCACAATACAAAGTCAATGAGAAAATATCCACCAATTTTAACAAAGCAGAAACAGGTCCATAAAGGTCTAATCCAATAATGAATGCATAGTCTCATTAATTTCAATGGGCTTCATAATTGTCCCTTAAAAACCACAGATAACAGTAAAGGGTGAAGTAGCCCCAATTTTACTAACTTTAAGAAATGTACCTGATATATATTGAAATCTGCAAGTCTAACCACAATAGGACTAGACATCAGTTTGCCCTTTGGTTGTTGGGAAGATACAGAGGAAGCCCTAGATGCTCCTTTCGGTATCTGTTCTTTGCCTGTAGAAAAGAATAGTGATGAAATCATTGAAAAGAACACTTTTTTTTTTTTAATAGTTTTAACATTTCATGGAATTAGAGCATTAGTGATGTAAAAAAAGTACCTGTTTGTAGGTTCTGGGGAGATACATCAGGTGGTGATTTGGGAGGAGAATCTACAACCTGATCCTTCACAGCCTGCTTAAGCAATTCAACATTGCTTTTGAATTCATTTAATAATTCTTCAGCCCATCCACTTCTGGTTTTAGTGGCATCACTATAATGCATCCAGTGGTCACAGCTGTCTCCTGCAAATAAGAGGAATGGTGAAAATATTACCTCATTTGAAAGTTTGCTTTTAACAGGACAAGTTTGCACTACTTCACAATTCTTCAAAATATAAGCTCATTGCATGCTGTAATTATAGAACAACAGAAGTCATAACAGACTTTAAAACAGAAGCTATATATTACATAAACACGAGTCTCAATACTTCACAAAATCACTCAGAATATAATATTACCACCTGCCTTTTAACACCACTAACACTCAAAACATCATCAAATATTTGCAGTTCAGAGAAATCTGATGACACACTAATATCATATGTGAGAACATGCAAAAAATGTTTAATCAAAAAAAAAATGAGAGCAAGTAACAGACTGATGTAATCATGGTCACTTTTTCCAAGCTTATCTTTCCTGCCAGAATTATGTCCTAAGAAGTTCCTGGTCCCTTTCCAGAAATGTATTCTTTTTGTCTTAGTTCTCTAGCACCTTTATGGCACACAAACAAGAAGGTAAGTTCAAGCAGTGCTGCAGCACACACAGCCTTAAAAATCAAGCCAAATGGAAATTCTTTTATTCCTTTTTCCAATTCCTGTTCCAATTCCAGCATGTGTCTGTTGGCCAAGCATTCAAAACTCTGAAAGAAATTGAGATATCTTCAAAGAGTCCCTGTAAAGTCATTCTACTAACCTGTTCAATAATAAGGATGCAATACAAATAACTTGTACCAGCTGGTACACCACTCTTTAAATACCACCATGTGAAAACTTACTTTATTTGGGACTTAATGAGCCTTTGGATATTTACACTGAGGATGAGTAGATATGATTGCTATTAAAACAGGAAAATGTTTTCAGAAAAAAATGTGATATCAGGTCTAAATGCAAAAATTTTAGCATGGAAGAAACTTTTAGGGAGGGGCCTATCACAAGACATGATATTTTTCCCCACTCTACTATCTCACAGATATCTTTGGTGGTTATTCACATCTTTATAGCTAAGGAAGAAGAAAAAGGAACAGGGAAGAAACCAGAAAGAACAAAAGGGCAAAGATGCATTAAAGTGAAGCTCATGAAGCTGGGATTCTCCAAAACAGGACTAAAGTGGGGTCACCCCAAGTTTATGCACACAAACTCTGAAGTACCTACAGGACTTCAGTATAGCAACACCACAGGGAAAGCTCTCATACCACTTCTGGGAAGTCAGTTTGGGCAGCTGCCTCTTTGAAGTGCTTGCACACTAACATATGCAGCATGAGCTACATGTGGGAGCAGGGGGAATTACAAATCTGTATGCAGTTGCAGGGCTGTGATCTCAGTGGAGTCACAGACATGTGGCAAGACAGCACACACACAACTGAAGTGCTGCAAATGATGAATACAGGCTTTTGGGAAGCACAAGTCAAGAGAGCAAGGAGGGCAAGATCAGTGGAAACTGAGCTCAACCTTGGGATGGCTTATCAACCAGCTGAGTGCTTACAGGTTGGGATTAGAGGACAGACCAACAAGGATGATGATTTGATGGATTTCTGCTCCAGACCATCTGATTAGAAAGATGATGAGGCCCTTTTCACACAACTGAAAGAAGTATGATGTTCACAGACTCTGGTCTTCATTAGGAACTTCAGGCACACCACCATCTACTGGAGGGACAACACAAGACAAGCAATCCATGCGATTTCTGAAAGTGCATTGATGACCACCTCCTAACACAGGTCATCAAGGAGCCAAAGAGAGCACAAAAAAAGGAAGAACTGGTGAGGGATATGAAGGTCAGGGGCAGCCTTGGCTGCAGTTACCATGACATGGTGGAGTTCAGGATTCTGAGGTGAAGGAATGAGACAAAGACAAATGACAGCCCAGAACTTCAGCAGAGCAGCCTCTGATCTCCTTGAAAGAATATAGGATATAAACGGACAGAAGCAGAGTTCAGGAGAGCTGGGTGAAGAATTGCCTCCAAGCCAAAGAATGGAAAAGCAGGAAGTCTAGAAAATGTGCAAGGAGGCCCATGTGGATGAACTAGGAGCTGTACAACATGTGGAAGCAGCATCTGGTTACCCAAAAAGAATATGGTGGATGGTGGTTAGGACAGCCTACCTGGAGTTCAGTCTAATAAGAAGCATTACAGGTGTATCACAAGCAAAAGGAAGAGCAGTGAAAGCTTGGACTTGCTGCTGAATGGACGGGGGACCTGGTGAAAAACAGCATGGAGAAGGCTGAGACAGTCAATGCCTTCTTTGGTGACACTTGCCTTCAAGATTCCCAGGTCTTGAAAACTTTGGCAGTCTTCCCCTCAGCAGAAGAGCATTAACTTAGGAAACATTTGATCTGTTGATCAGACATCCACCAGTCCATAGAAACAAGTGCTGAGAGATGTCAAGTGCTGGCCAATGTCATGAGGAGGCCAGTCTGAATTATCTCTGAAAGGGAAGGTTTCTGAGGACTGGAAGAAAGCGAATGTTATTGCTATCTTCAAGAAGGAGGATAACAAGAACAACAGACCAGTCAGCCTCACCTCAAAGAAGGTAATAGAAGAAGGTAACAGAGGGCAACAGACCAAATAATCCTGGAAACCATTTCAAAATACACTAGTGACAGGCAGGTAATTGGAAGTACACGTGCATGGCTTTATGAAGGAGAAGTCATCCCCGGGGAACTTTACAGCCTTCTACTATGAGACAAGTGGCTTGATGGATAGATAGGGTAGAGCAGTGGACATTGTTTACCTCAGCTTTAGTAAGACTTCCTCCACTTTCTTGTCACGTGCTTTGTAACATGTATCTTGTCTCTTCGAAATTTTTTAGATTTATACTAGAAATTATTTGTAAGAAATGCTTCTTTGGAAATTGCTAACATTTGTTTAATGACATTTCTTAACAAAAGGACAAAAACCTCTACCACATTGGGATTCTTGTGTAGCAAAATAAAAAGCAAAACACTGCTCAGATATGGACATAAAATAACAGACTTGTTTATGTGAAAAAATCTAGCAGATGGACTCCTGCAAATATCCAGTTAGTGAATTCTCAATATGACATACTGTCTTCCTCTGTCAACACACAATTCTTTTCATGTCAGAAATGTGTAAACACCATTTTGCTGACCAAACAGAACAGTGAAAAGTGTGTGGCCTCAAACAGCTCATTCACAGAAATTAAATTGGTTCCCAGGTTGTTGCTTTTGTTGTTTGTTTTTGCATACAGAAGGAAATAAAAAGGTGTGCATTTCAAATGCTTTGAGCATTATTATCCGAGCTGAATATATACAGACAAACACAATATTTTTGAGTATTCAAGCAAGATAGTTACCTTCAGAGGTAATTCACAAAATGTTCACTTTCATACCTGCTTTGTGAAATGGATAATAGTCCACTGTTAAATAGCTGAAGGAAAGCTGCATGGCCCCTCCCGTAACACGTCTATTTGGGTCTGTAAAATAAAACAATGATTGACTCTGCAGGTTGCAGTTAGCATGCTAGTTCTCAATTGCTGCAATCCTTTAAACACCGAACAGCTACTTCTTCCTCCCCTTACAACCTCATTATCTTCCCTCAAAATTTTCATTCAGGTAGTCTTCACTGATTTCTAAAGATTAGCTCACAGAACTCTGTGCTCAGCTACTACTAGCAAATTGTGTATTGTTCTAAATGTTATTAAAAAGACAACATGTTAAACACATATCACTGCAGTTTTCCTGAAACAAAACTTTTTACACTGAATACGACTACGATCAGTCATTTGAAGTCAACATTTACATTAAAGAATAATGTAAATATAATATATTTTATTTGACAAATATTCCAGTGAAGGGATCTTCTGAGAGTCTTCTGTTCTGATTTTTTCCACTGTTCAATTTAAGCTCATGGCCAGAAATAAAGGACCAATAAAGAGACCTCACTAGGAACGATAAATTCCAACTGTAGTGGATACACAGCTTGTAAGGAACTAAGTCTCTAGCCAGTGAACCTTATGCTCTGCTGCTCTGCAAGTGCCTTCCCTAATCAAGGAAATACATTTGCTAAAACTTCAGTTTTTCACACTCTTCTTCAGCAGACCTTGTATGTTTCCATAATTTTTTCAGTAACTAGCCAGTTCCTTGGATATACACCAGTATGTCACTCTCTTCTGATGACTTTTAAAAGACATGAAAGAAGTGTAATTTGTCTTCAGTTTTTCTGATTCTAAATACGGCTACATGCAATAGCCTTTTGTTAAAAAAAACCCAACATAACAAATTTACAGACAAAATTTTAAGGTCACAGGACACTTGTTCTATTCTTTCCATGTCCTGCAGACCATACCAAATTGTCTAAATTCGTAACACAAAGAGGACTGCTCTTTTATTAGTCTGTATTTATATGAGTATTACAGAAGCAGATTCTATAGTGACCCTTTCAAGCCATGGTAACGTTGCCACTGCATTCTTCATAACCCAGTTAACTTATAAAAGAAAAAAACCCCAGCAGTAACAATCAGACTGAGAGGATCAGTTACTAGCAGACAGAAAAAACACAGAAGCTACTGGCTCTCTTAGCACAGTTATTGCATTTATTCTAAAATAATTCTGACTATTCCAGTAAAATAAAGACTCTTGATTAACATTACTGTATTCCTCAAAATGTCTTCTAAAGATGATTATAAGTCACAGATATGTTACTTGAAAAAAAAAAAAATTACCTTTTTCTTTAGAATGGATATCATCACATATATGTAGGTCCAAATGGGAAATCACTAAGTGATGAGAAGTTTCCTTAACATCAAAATCATTAAATAATTTTACTATTGCATCATTTTGATCAGACGCTGCTGTTGTCTGGTGCATTTTCACCTGCTGAGAGCTGGGTGCAGGGGCAGAGCTCTGAAAAAATATTTAGTTGTATCAATTTATGATGCTTATAATTTCTTTCAAGCATAAGTATCCAGTTACTTATACAAAACAAGCCCTTGAAATAAGGAAAAATCTGCATGATGTGCATTCACCTTGGATCATTACTGAGGTTTAAATGTACTGTTTTAGAATAAAGCTAAGTTGAGCTAATGGGTGTACATCACAAAGAGGCAGCGCCAGTGCATCCCTATTCTCCCTGTCCTCCCTACTTCCTTACACACCTGTCACTTGCAGCACTGGTATTTTTCTAACTTTTGTTGCAAACTGTTCAGGGAACTAAACCAAGAGTGGGCTCCCTTTGCTACTTTAGCTCCTCAAACTAAATCACAATAGGATCAAACATAAGTTGGTGCCAGTACCAGAGAACTGGCAAGTACAGGGCACTGAAGCATCGGAACCTCCCTGCTCAAGAACAGCTAACCATTAGATTGCTGTGGCTAAGCCATGAAACCACATTGTAAGGCATCAGGACCACCACAAGAACTGAACTCTCCATTACAGTACATAATTGACGGTAATCAGTCTTAGTAATAAATCACGTTTTATTTTTATAGCACTGTCTTTTACCAGTGTTTTTGTCCTGCTTCTTCACAGACAAGAAGTGCCTCCCCTCAACACTCACAAAGCCCAGTTGGTCTAGTCTGCTGCATTTGCTGAAGACCACCAAGGTTTATATGCAGCATCAGTAGCACGGATATGCCAGCAGAAATATGTTTAAAGTAGAATCGTTTTTCGCTATATATTCCAACGAGAGCTGCATGAGAGTAAGCTCTTACTAAAAGCTAATTTTTCAGTACCATGAGAACAAACCGGACAAGAAATTTAAATCATTACAGTAAGCATATCTACTCACACATTAAGGTTACCTTAGTGTGTCTTAATTATTTAAATTCATAACCAGAAAATATTCAGAGAACTAAATTTACTAAATAGTTAATCAAGGGTGAAGTAAATACAGAAATCTAAATACTCTGTACATGAATAAACAAAGAAAACCTTTTTTTATTTTCTGCAACTAACATCAATACACAAAATCTTGTAAAATAAACTCTATTTTGTACTACGATTCATTCCCAAGGTAATTCAAGATGTATAGCTGAATGCAAATTAGTAACTGAACATTCTCTAAAATAAATTACCACTTGATAATGATATAGTGAGACACTCAATTCTCATACCTGGGCTGTTTCAGAAGCCAAGCTTTTCCTCTGTTCTGTTGATTTCTCTATAGCTTCACTAAGAGATTTGGCATACTGCACCATGGCTTTCAATTGGGAATCAGTCAAAACCCACAGCAAATCATCCAGAATCAGAACTAGTTTGGATGCCACTACATTACAATCTTTTAACTGTAGAATAAAAATTTAAAGAAGTTGAATGGGTCCATTAAGTACTTAAGTTTCTTATATACATGGGGGGAAAAAAAGCAGAATGCAAAAAGCAATAACAAACATTTTTTAATTAAATTGTATTGCTCTCATTAAGAATTACCTAAGACACAGTATATTTATGCCTCACTTTATGTGTTTGGCGTGCACTGGATATTAAACTGCTGCATTTCTCTAAATGTAAGTAATGTAAATATTACCTGAATCTAGAGAGGTAAAACAACAGGCATCATCATAAACAAAGTTCTGCAGAGCAAACGGTTTCGTTAGTAGGACCTGTACAAGGTCTTCATTTTCAAAATCTGCCTGCAGTATTTCTCATAAACTCTACAGTCTTACCAATCATATGTTATTAAAAATTTAGTTCAGGGAATTCTACATTTTATACAGTCTAAATTTAAAACCTTTACAAAGTGTGTGTATGCATTAAGGGCATGAGTTACAAATTAATTAATAAAATAATAAAAGATTTCAAAGTTTTCAAGTTTACCCTTCTTTTAAGTGTGACCCTAATTTTGGATTGGTTAGTAATCAGTCGAACTGGAGCACTCATGATTTCATGCTTAGAACTCTGGATTGCATCTGCTTCTATTCTGATCATCTGCCAGTTGATTTCTTTAAAAGTCAAAACCTTTAGAGAGAGAAAAAGAGAAAAAAACAATCTTCATGCAATATGATGGTTTACTTGCACCTAACCATGTGTATGTATATATCTGTATATATATACACACAAACTCACATGAGCTATATGAACAGAATAAATACAAGTCACTTGTTATTCCACTTACAGGTGTTGGGAAGCAAAGCCCTGACCCTTCTCGCTACCTCCAAAATGTCACAGAAGTGTTTAGCTACTTCCAAGCAGGCCAAGGTAACAAGCAGCATTTAAAATATTCAGAAGAAAATAAAGGTCACAACTATTGCATACTAGGTTGCCTTTGGGAGAGGAAGAAAAAGATTGTGTAGTTTAGTTTCAAAATGTTAAATCATAGTATATAGAAAAAGAGCAGGGAGGGAAGCAAAGCTACAGGATGGGAGAGGGTTTTTTGGAGTGTTTTATTTCAATTAAAAGAGAAACTTAAAACACTGAGCACACTGCATGCCATGTAGATCCCACAAGCTTTGAATCTACCACATGGATTTCTAGAAGACACAGCAAACAAATGTAAGAATAATGATACAAGAGCAGCAAGTACAGCTGGACACTGAAAATCAAACAGGGAAAAACCAGTGACTGTCCAGCAGCAACATCATGGAGAACATCAAATGAACAGGAGGACATCAATAGGAAGAAACAGTAATTCTAGTCCTTCCTACATGGTTTGGATGAGGGGATCGAGTTTACCCTCAGTAAGTTCGCAGACAACACAAAGCTGGTACGGAGTGTTGATTTGCTGGAGGGTAGGAAGGCTCTGAAGAGGGATGTGGACAGGCTGGATTGATGGGCCAAGGAAAACTTTATGAGGCTCAAAAAGGCCAAGTGCCAGTCCTGCACTTGGGTCACAACAACCCCAGGCAGCGCTACAGGCTGGGGGAAGAGTGGCTGTCCAGTTCGGGGCCCCTCACTTCAAGTCAGACATTGAGGTGCTGGAGCAGGTCCAGACAAGGGCAACAGAGCTGGTGAAGGGTCTGGAGCACGAGTCTTATGAGGAGCAGCTGAGGGAGCTGGGGGTGTTTAACCTGGAGAAAAGGAGGCTTGAGGAGACCTTATCACTCTTTACAACTACCTGAAAGGAGGTTGTATCAAGGTGGGAATCAGCCTCTTCTCCCAGGCACCTACTGACAGGATGAGAGGACAGAGCTTCCAGCTGCACCAGGGGACGTTCAGGTTGGACATCAGGAAGAATTTTTTCACTAAAATGGTGGTTAAGCATTAGAATAGGCTGCCCAGGGAAGTGGTGGAGTCACCATCCCTGGAGAAGTTCAAGAAATGACTGGACGTGGCATTTAATACTATGGTCTAGTGGGCATGGTGGTGTTTGGTCAAAACACCAACCTTAGTGATTCTGTGATTACTCTCTGAAGAAAAAAAGATCAGCCATAAGAAAAGCGCAAGAAGGAAGAGTTTGTTTGGTATGCGTCTTATTTTTCATCAGCCATTCTTTTCTTGTTTTGAAAATCTTATACTATACTTTCTGAGAATATAAGCAGAGACTTAAGTAAAACATTCCCAATGTGTCTGGCAAGGAGGCACACACAATCGAGTGAGCAAGATGGAAAGGCCCAGTGCAAAGTGAAACACTTCTTCAAATAGTGAAACACTATATGAAGAAAAGCAGAGTACCTACCCTTCTCATACAGGAGATGCAGTGTGATTGAAAGCTTCTAGAAAAATTCTAAGGAAATTCCTTTTCACATTAAGAGTATAGCTACAGTGCAAAGCTACAGCACAAGTTATCTTCATAGTACAACACTTCATTTGTTTTTTCACCTTTTCGTGTAATTTACTGCTAACAAATCATTCACTGTAATTTCTAGGAATTTATGTTTACAGTATTCATTGCACTAAAAGGAACACTCCCCAGGGAAAGCTCTGTTGTGTATGGGGCAACTGTTCAGAACCAAATTCTTCCTAAAAAGCAAAAAATCAAAAAATATGCCAATTCAAAATTCCACCTGGTCAAACTTTAATTCTTCCTTTTTAGATCTCATTAATACATACAGTTGAGCTGCAGGAAAGGCAAACTGTCAGAAAAATAGTTTTCAACTTCTTATTTTTGTGATATTTTTAACTGATATTCTCTTGGGCTTTCTTTTGCTATATAAAAATCAACTACCAGACTTCTTGACTCTGAGTAAACTCTATTTCTTCTGGAATAATCATCTCTAAATAGGCAATCATGGGCAAAACTTAAAACACCCTTTTATCCAAGGCCAGATGTATGATGCTAAAATAAGTCTCTCTGAACACAGTATTTAGAATCAACCTTGCACTCAGTATACATTTTACTTGGTTACTTGGGAGAAAGCCAGGTAACCAATGGTGTACATCACTCTCAGACTTCCATGTTAAATTCTCCCAGACAGTAGAAATGTATGCACTTTACTGCTATTACTTTTTTGCATACATATGATTTAGCTATTCCAAGAAAATTACTTAATTCTTGCACAAGAACTTAGCAAAATTCATTTAAAACTGCTTTAGGAAACAAAATCCTCATCAGGCAAACCTTCACAAGCAAATAACCAGTTGAGTCTTTAAAAATAATAAAATAATACCAATAACAATAATAAAAACCAGCACAACACCTTATCCTTCCACATTTAATATACTATTCTTTTTTCTTTCAGTACTTTTCAAGTCTGGCCCAGTTTGCATTTTAAAATAGTCACAAACTTGGGGAACGTAAGAGCGAAACAACAGTACATCTGCTTTCCTCAGTCTTTGTTCTTCCCTAAGCATCCACTTTGGCCACTGCCAGAAACATGACGTTTGATCTGACTCACATCCACCATTTTTACATCTTTGCCTTCCTAGAGGACAGCTGAAACTACTGAGCACAGAATGCCTCAATTTCTAGTAATGGCATGTTTCCTACACTGTATAAGGCTGCAATTCAACTTACTCCTTTATGACAAAAACAAGGGAAAAAAGTTAGTAAAAAGTGTTCTTTACCTCTCCACGCTGAGTCTCTTGTATTCTGGTAAATCTGAGGTCAGCATGTTCCCAGTTTGCATTTACACTATATATTCTCAGCTGGGAAAGTTCAAATGAGGCATTAAAGGCTTTTGCACCAATCCTTATTATAATGGAGTTCACAGAAACTGAAATGCCTTCTACCACTTTTTCAGCAAAGCCATATTCACTAAAAAGTGAAATGCCAACATATTAAATACATACCCAGGGAAAGGGACCAAAATTAAGCACATTAAACATGTGAAATAAATCATGAAACAGATGTTAAAATAAATTAAGTTCCTAGTGTATTCTCCAGTGAGCAATTTTTACTCAATATACTTGATCTAGTTTACAATAATTTCCACCCTATGATCCTAATCTCTACATAGTGATTAAAGAACATATATTTGACTAAGATCAATCTACATGAAGTACAACAGTTAATGCAATCCTTCTACGTTAAATATTTTATACATATATATGTATTTTTATACATTTATATATAATACATATATAAGAATAGCAGTCTACAGCATTATGTAGAAATTTTACTCTTCTTTATGTATACATAAAGAGTAATTGACGGCAAATTAATTATTTGACAATTCCAGTCTGGTTAGTATTTATCTCTATTAGTCAAGTTATTCCATCCATTAAAAATAATACCTTTCATATATTCAAAATAGTATAAAGTTTTTGCTTTGTTTCATTCTACAAAACAATGGTGGTTACACTTCTACAGCAAATCACATGCATTCCAGCATTAAAAAAGATAGAGCATTTGCAATTACTTTTTTAATGAAAATCTTATATGTTCTGAATGTTTTAGATTAGTGAATGGAAAATTATAATTTAAATATTATTTTAACATCTAAAATTTTTTGCCTTTTGTTGTTTTGAGTTCTTTTCTGCTTGTTTTAAAAGTACAGTTTGTGTGGTTTGTCATTCCTTCTCCTTTTCATAACTTGCATTCTACACAGAATCTCTATGGCAATGGTTTTCAAGCTATACCCCAGGAGACACAGAGGTCCATGGACTACTTCTACACATTACACAGAAGTTACAAGAAAAGCAATTGTATCATCACATTCATTTCTCTGTATATGGGTCACTGTGACCACTGAAAAATGTTTTGTGTCCATATAAAGGAAATGACTGGGGGTGTGGCGAGATGGAAATCACTGATGTAATGCTATATTGTCCTAGCAAATTACTTGAGTTTTGGGATATACAGTGTGCATGAAATCTCTCAGTAAGATTTGGCCAATACAATAAAGGAAAGAGAACTTGAAAACACCACACTAACAAATAACCCTTAAAACTGCTTTTTAGACAAAATAAATAAAAAATAAAAATTTTTAAAAGCCACATCAACATTATATATGTTTGCTAAAAAGGCTGAAGGCAAGATATCGTTAATTTTAAAAAAACTTAACAATTACACTTGGTAAAAATCTGATATAGCAGTTGCCCCCACATGAAACACGCCTAGGAAGCTCCATACCTAGTTCACACATTCTCTAGGCTTGGGTCTGGATAGTTCCATTATCACTATACCACTTCACGCACAAGTCATAAAATAAAACTTTGCAGAGATGGACACGGCAAGCTGGAACCCTATATATTTCTGGAAATTTGCAGTCGATCAAACTGTTTTATAGTAATCCATTTTTTTGTGACCAATCACATGTAAGTATCATCACTGACCTCTGTCCAGATGCAGTTGCTATAGGAGAGGGTCCATTAGGGGCACGTGGCTCTTCACATGTGCTCATTTCCATTATAACTTTATCCAAGGACTTGAAAAACAAAACAAAACAAAAAAAATTGGACATCTAAGAGGTAACAAAGTAAATAAACAACATATGAAGAACAAAAATTGAAACAAAAAAAAAATCACTTGAGAATTTTTTCTGAAATATACATAAAACATTTCTTACCATGTTGTTTTTTCCATAAACTTTTGTAATGTATCAGAATCATCTTTAACTTTTTTCATGCTTTTTAATTTTGTGAGTTCTAGCAGACATCCCCAGACAAATAGCATATCACAAAATTCTTGATCCCTGAGTATTATTTATCCATCACACTCATTTTCAAAAATTGCATTTCAAAATGGACTTTAATGTAGTCATCTGAGTTTTCTTTCTATATGGTTGTGTTTATAGCGAGATACTTATACCTCCTGAGTTTCCTGAATGGTTCAGTAAGTTCAGAAAATTTTAATGGAAAATATTTGAAACTAGTCCACTAAAATTCATGATAGTCCACAAAGTTTTGTGCTGCATCTTTGAAATAAAACCTGCATAGAATACACACTCACATATATATATATATATATATGAATCTTCAGTACATCTAGTAAAACAAGCAATTTCTAAACACATATATTGTAGTATAATTTGCAACACATTATATTGTAGTAAAATTGTATTCTATTTTTGCATTCTTTGTACTTGAAGAGTAGCTGTTACAAATGAAGCTGAGAATTAAGGGAATGAGACATCTAAATCCTGCTTTAACTAAAGGCTCTATTTAAGTAGCAGAACCATAACATGCATATTAACAGAAGTTGAACAGAATGGGAACAAACCAAATGCAAAACCATATTCCTAGCAATTGAATTAATACAAGAATCTCCAAACTTACATTGTAATATCTGTGACCTAAATTTATCATTACAACCTGGGAAGGCTCTTAGGTTAAAGTTTATAGTCCCGAAATTTTGTCCCACTGGATGTCCATTCAAAACACAGCAGATAAGATTATGTCCCTGTCTAATTCTACTTTCTACTACCCCTTCTGAATTCCTGCATTTATGCTCTTAGGTCAGACAAAACATAATAAAAACCTTTGTCCTCAGTTTTAAATTTTTCATGATTCAACCTGCCCTAGCTACTAGATTTTATTATTATACTGGGTTAATTGTGCCTGTCTTCATAATCTGCTTGCTTCACAAACATTTTCCTGTACAATTCTTATCTATGAAAACCTAACTACAATTAAAAATCCTGAACTGTCTAATCTGGATTTATTTATACTTCACTATATTTTGATGGTTAAAGGGAAACATTAGCTGTTAACAGTAAATTTGGACATTTTAAAATTATTTTCTCAGCTGTCTCAATGATTATCTTGCCTGGCAAAACAATAACAGAGGAAAAAACAAGAAAAATCTAATCCCATAGTTTGAGAATGGGGGGGAAACCAAGATTTCTCCTGTTATCCTAACATTGTTGGGTGTTTGACCATTCTTTTTAAGGTTTTAAGAATTTCCTTCACTACATGACTAGTATAAAGAGCAGTAGGAAGGACAGTGATTCAAGGAGTTCGCATAATATAAATAAGAGGTAACGAAGAATGCCTGGATGCAGACACATGTCTTTTCTCACTGGTTACTACTGTACTTTGATAGAGCAAAAACTTCTGCATAGCATTCTCAGGCCCCAGATCACCCCTCAAAAGTATCTTGTTCATCATATAAAACCAGAAATTAATTATTACAAAGATAACAGTATGTGCCACTATGTTAACAGACAGATTCTCACAAAGGGCAACTCAGCTCAATGAAAGGACCTTTGGCTAAACAAGTAGGTTTAGTCACCTCCTAAGCTATGCAAACAGAGGATGCTATTCCAACTTAATTAAACTCCCAGTAGCAAAAATATGCCCTCTTGCCCCCCACAAATTAGTGGGTGTTCAGTGATGTAATGAAGGGCTGAAGTTTGACACTTAGGCCACTGAATTCACTTTCCTTTAGAAATCAAAAGAGGTGTTGTATATTCTACCATTGAAGAATGAAATGAACTTCTGTTACCAATTTAATGAACTTGTTCAAGGAAACCTTTATGTAAAAAAGGTTACCTTCAAAATTATGTTAGCCTCACAGATTTCTAATTTAAGTTCAACAGGAACAAAGGAAACAGCACCTTGCTACCACAGATCAAAGTGTGTAATCTTTAAGAATAGCACAGCTTAAACCGATTTCCTAATTTGGCAGTTGCATCATAGAGCCAAGAGGTTGAATCATCCCACCTCGGCATTACCAGATTAAGTTCTGGGTGTCAAGAAGAAGCAGTACAGACATTAGTACATTACAACTGGGTCACTAGCAAATGCTGCAAAAATTTAAAACAACATGTCTTTTCTAAATCTGATTCAGAACTAAGGAATTACAAGCACATTCAGAAATCCACTGCAAGACTGGGAAGCATGACAGTTAAGGGAATATTCACTCTTAAGCAAATACAACTAAGGAAGTTTAGTCATCATCAAGTAAAGTACTTCTGGTGCAACACAATTCTTGGTGTACTTAAAAATAAAGAACGAAATTAAACAAATGCAATAATTAGCATTACTTATAATTGTTGTTGAGTTCTATTTACACATTTTACATCCTATTTATATCCAGGCTGAATCCTAAGGTGTTACAGAAGCCCTGTAAATGCTATCTGTATCAAACCTGCTGAGGCTGAGAACATCGGGTAGAGTACAGATGTAGAATAGAGAAGTCCTTAGAAAAGATAGCTCCAGTAGACAGGCAGGAACTTTTAAAAGGGATTAATTGGACAAATAACTATCCTTCAGGTGAACCCAAATTAACACCTAATGACTGAAAACTTGACAGAAGTAGCTAAGGGTCAAACATTATAGTGATGGCATCCAAGCCACAGATTAAGAAAACAAACATACCAAGAAAGCATAAAGGCATTTTGTCTCAATCTGCTGCTACCCAGAGGACATTAAGTAAAGGCCTACTGATGTTTTAATTATTTCTAGCATCAAGTCAAGAGAACTATATAAATATTTAAGATTCTGCTACACACGGTATATTTAGGAGTTATTTCAGAACTCACCAAAGAGATGGGATGTGTTTTCAATTTTGTCCATGGTATCTACAAGAGAAAACAGTATTCTAAAGCAAAGTAAATATTTAAAATACAGTAAAATAAGGCATTTGTTTAGAATGCATTTTATGTATAAAAATTATATTTCTAACTGTTGAACTTGGAATAATATTTATTTCAAAATATCAAGTTTACCTGAAAATACCATATAGTAACTCTACACACATGCTATGTCTTAAAAAACCCAGAACTTCCAAATCTACTTATCACTGATCAGAAAAACAGAGGAACAAAATAAAATCTTTCTCTTTAATACTGAGTTGTCAAGTATCATAAAAAGCAGCACTTCGGTACTCATTCTGTTCTTTCAAAGGAAAGAAATTCCACATTTGCTTTATTGACCTTCAGCTGATTCGGTGCCTGCAACAAGGTATCAAGTTCACTACCTTGAGAAAAATCAGGACAATGTCCCACCAGGGGTAAACAAAAAAAACCCCCACAACTACAACAAAACAAAACAAACCAAAACAAAACAAACAAAAAAAAACCCCACACCACAAAAAACCCACAAACAAACCTCTCCAAAAGACTGAGGAGGTGCCAATGTTTGATCACTGTGTAACTTTTGTCAAGAACAAGCCACCTCTTAGTTTCTTACTCCCACATCAGTATAATGTGGGAGGGATGATATACATTGTTTCAATTATTAGCTGCCACACCGACCATAAAGCAATGCCTACTAGAGTGTTTCCACATTTCCCAAAGACCAGAATCCCTCAGAAAGGTATTTTTGGAAACGAGAACACAACACAAGGGAAGGAAAGCAATAAACAGAGAGGACCAAAGAAAGAACACAGAAAAAAGAGAGCAGTAAATATGATACATTAATTACCAAGGACAAATACAAGCTTTTACCTCTACCTGGTTTTCAGAACATGCAAGAATAAATTCTACTCAGAAAGAAAAAATAATAATTAAAAAAACGCTGCTTATTTTCATCATTTCCATACGTATTTCATGTCATCACATGAGAAACAAAAATTAGTACAAAATTATTGCTGGTAACATCTTGGTCTTTAAGATTTTATCAAGCACATCTCACAACTTTCTATTAATACAAAGTTGCTTGAAAGTTTACAGAGACAGAAGGAAAAGAAACATCTGGTGAAATACCATTCCAGCAAAATAAAATACTCACCCTAATAGATGCTTTATTGCAAAACACCTTGTTTATAGCCAGCCATGTGGGAAGATCCAGCATATTCTGAAGTACCTCTTGATCCAGCTCTAAATTGGTCAGCTGACCTTCCCCCTTTAATGTGCTCAAGTTGATCTTGTCAGGTGACAGATTTTTGGTGAACCTAAAAACAAACACACACCTTAAGTAAATACATATAAAGCAATCAAAGCTGTCCTACATGTCGGTGACAATTTAACTTAAAGCAGTGGTCTGGGGGTGAGGAAATTATCTTAGATGCAATCATTCTTAGATACAATTTCATCCTGGAAAGAAATGGTATGATGGAAATGATTTGTTCCTCTAAATTTTTTCATCTCATTAACTCAATTTACAAATACATAAGCAAAAATATATTACGAGATTTCTTCTAATTTTTGCATCATCCACAATAACAAATTATTGAACTACTTATTTTAAGCTATATAAGGTAAAATTGCATCTATTTCAGTCTTCTTTCACTTTTCAAAATGAGAAAAAAATCCAAAACCTCTGCAACTCACTGTCATAAACAGTACCTTTCTACATACATTTAGTTAAAATCTTGAAATGAAAAGTTTTATTTACAATATTAATTAGGTTTACTCATAGATTTTAATGACATAAATTAGAAGTACACGTACACATACATAGCAGCATGAGGTATATAAAATACTGGGTGAAAACCTGAAAGTTCAATGATCCATGGGCTAAAAAATGTAACTATTTAAAGGAGTACACATGCAATAAATTTCATTATACCTCAAAGGCGGTATGATTTGCTGATACAATAGAACAATCTATGTGACTGTTTCAAATGGTTGACATCTTTGTGAGACAATGTGACAGAACCCATGGGTACTCTACCCTAAAACCAACAGCTGCAGCATTTTATCTACCACAGGGTAAGAACAGGATATACTTAACCACACTTTCAATCTGCCATGGAAAATTGTTTCTGCTCACGAATTGAGTCTAATTTTACAAGATTAGGTAATAGAAAATACTACTATTGGCATTATGCTTTGCGACTTTTCCCACCGAAATCTTCCGATGCTGCCATTCTGCAGTCAGAGACATTAAAATGTCCCATTAGTAACTGCAAAATATAAAGCTTCCTATCTCAGAAATCATTGAGAAGTCTCATATGATTCAGCTCATTCAAATTTCTAGAAGAAAAAAGCAGCCATTGAGTGTTCACAGTTGCATGATAGTATCTCTCATTCTTGACTTTCTAGATGAGAGTCAACATAAGAATTACAAATTGGTGTTCTTTTATAAAGTCACATTTATAGAGCAAATGCCCGAACATTCTGCCATTACATACACATATATACATACAAGTCTGCTAAGAGTCATGTTCTGTGAAAGAAGTCCCCCTCAGAGTTCCCTGTTGCTCTGCCACATCAGAAATGCCACTCAACATGGAGAGAGATCTAAGCTTGGTCCCAACTGCAGACACAGCACAGTGAAACACACAGGATCTACAGGAACAGGTTTTCAAACTTCACAGCAAGAAAGACACCAAAATACCATTAAGGAAGAGAGTGCAAAGCCAGTTCTGAGCTACTTCCAATATCCTTCAATCAGACAAAATACGAGCCAGTCTCTCCCAACAGAGAACAGAAGAACAGGGAAAGAAATTTCAAAAAGAACCATCGCTTTTCTCTATATATATTTTTTAAAAAATTCTTCCAAGAGGGTTGCCTTGAATTTATTTCCTCTCCTGCAGTCAGTGAAAGTAAAAATGCTCAAAGTGCTGCTTCATTCAGAACAGACCGACATAAGAGGATCTCCACCTATTAAGATTGTACCCTTCACGTCAAGAGTCGCAGAAACAAACTCTCAACAGGTGAGCTGTGAGAAGGTATTTCAGGCATAGGCACCTCTAGTAGGTCTCTTCATTCCACTTCCACAGCTGGAATGCTACTGATGAGTGGATGCTGAGGAGACTGTGGTGTTTCCCCAAAACCCATAGTAACTTCATAATACATGACAACCACATCTGCTTTATCCATCTGCTTTGTCCAGAGCCAATTTTCCACTGAGGATGCCAACACTTTACTCATCTGTGCCAATTCTCTGCTCCTTCTAAATTCATCTGTTCCACAGAATATACTCTTGTTTGTCTGTCAGATAATTTCAGCTCTTTAGAATTGTTTCATACTGCTTGATATAGTAGGAAAACCTTTTACTTTTATACAGTGGCCTTTGACAGAAAAAAAACCCAAACAAAACAGAAGTTGGTCTATTTGTTGCAAACACAAGGCAACCATACCTGTTAGTTAGACTTTGTAAGAATTCTGATCTTTGTGCATAAAATTGAAAGCACAGCCAGATGACAAGTACAACAGTGTTTTGAATTAAAAATTTTAAAAGTCCTTAGGGCAACCACTAGTCTCCAAATGGTATTGCTCCCGGATCCCATGGTACACCAGACCAGGACATGCCCCACTGAGCCAGTGTGCTTTGACTTTTTCTTCTTGTGTGCTTCACATTCAGCTAACAGACTCAGGGAGATGTACCACAGACACACTGCTGTGTGTCAACTGCAAGTTCCAGTGAACTTGCCATGAGCTGGAATAATTATCACTGTTACCCATTGAAATTGTTACTCAGTTAAAATCTGCAATTTAATATTTTAATATTATTAACTCCTATTTTTTTATTAAATTAAATGTCAGTATTATTCTAAATATTCTGGTGTTGGAGACTTTTTCTAATATTTATTGCTAAGCAAAATCTAAGGAGGAGGCTTTGGAGGTTAGCAAGTTATCTCTGTATCTAAAGAACTACTGTGTCTCTTACTACTGTAACCTACAATGCTTAACTGCTTAAACTTTGAGAACTTATTAGGCTATCATATTTACCATACAATTTTTATGTAAAGCAGAGAGGTAATTCCCATAAAGTTAGTGTAGAATCATGTAATTCTGAATATGAAGTAATTAGAAACCTTTGGTTGTGTCATGATGTTTCACAATTAGAAGTCCTTGATCAGGCAAAACCATTTAAAAATTCTTTATGAGCTTTCCATGTAACTACTCAGAACTAAAAATGTTACCAACTTCATGACATGCACACATTCTTCTCTCTGACCAGGCACACGCAAACAGTTTCCACACAGCTTGCCATTTGTTTTTTACCCTGGTGTTCATTCTTTAGAATGAGTTAATTACTCCTCAAAAACTGGGTCAAGCTGGGAGCAGAGGCCTTGACAACACAGCCATTTCCCTGCACAACATCCCATGAACTTGTCACTGATGCTTCTTTTCTAGGGAACAGACTAAGTGTTAATATCCACTACTAAATACAAGAAGTGAATAAAGCAGAACAGAGAAAAGTAAAAGGCAAGGGCAAGAGAAAAGGAAATAAAGGTCATGGTTGAGTTCACCAAAGCTTTCCGTCACCCTGTTTTGCTGTGTCAGTAAGACATCACTGTTACTGAGGCAATACCCACTTGGTTTGCTAATACCACAAGATATCCTTAGCAAAACTGTTTTCATAAATAGAGTTTCAATTTCGCAAACCACCCTTCCTTTCTCAAAACATATTTGAGGTTTGAATTACTATGTGATAGCATGAACTTCAAATACCATTTTCATACTGCATTCTATAAGTAGAATAATGCTGCAGATATTTTACACTCTAAATTCAACAATCCAGAAATAGGAAGTTACAAATATAACAAGCAGCCTGACATAGCTCCCTTGGGTACATACACACACATGCACTAATTATTACTATGCAGTTATAGATAGATGGTTCAACTTTAATTTACAAAGTACAGACTAAGAGTTTAGTGTAAAGTGTAAAAGACTGCACAGTAAGAGCAGAGTATTAAGAATCATAGAGCAATATGTTACAATCATTATATTTTGTCAGGACCACAACAGTTCTTTTAATTCTTTTCCTTCTAAAACAACTAAAAATCTACATAGAAGATTCATTTTTTTTTGCCTGAAGTATTTATTTTCTAAAGGCTTGTTTGTGACACTACAGGCTTAGAGCTCTGAACAGAGCACTCCACCATGCCTGCAGAGAAGAGAGCCAAGAAGTGAAAACAGAAACAAAAACCAACGAAGAATGAGTACAGAAGACAGGGGGAAACAATTCCCTGAAGTCACAAGCTTATGGGTTGTATAATGAAGGCCATAGACCACATGAAGCTTACAGCAGTGCTCCATAAAGGTATGGAGTGAATACCAGACGCCTTGTCAAGTTTAACAACAGAAACTCCAACCTCTGGATTTAACAGAAAAATAAGACAAGTTTGGATCACATTTGGACACAGGAATCTCAGCTATTTTGCAAATCTCCTGAACATACAATTGCTTACCCCAGCTCTACCATGTGCCTCCCCTCATTTTTAAATAAAATTCCCTCAACGATATGATCCTACATGTATGCTTTAATCATGATAGACTATTAAATCATAATATGCCACATGTTTTGCTCATCTCCTTGTTATGAACTCAAACTGCTTAAAAAAATATATGATTGAAAACAACAGGCTCTGAAAAAGGGAAACATGACCTACAAAGCACTGGCAAGTGTATCAATAACAAAACAGCAGAAATGGAACACACAAAGATAACTGGCTTCATTTATTTTACTGTTTCACCTGGATGAACCATGCTATTAGATCACTAAGGAACAGTATATGATTTCTGAAGCAAGAAAAGTGGTCTTTTTCAACCTAGTTTCTCAGGAAGATATTTGCTTCCCATGACTCTAGGTAACAGAGAGAAGGAGGCCTACTATCACTCTGCTCACTGCACCACTTCAAATTTTAAGATTTCAAGTTTAAGTAGAAGAGGAACAAAGCTAAGTCTTTGTCAAACTTGCTACAGAAACAAAGCATTGGGATCAACAGTGTGTACTGTTATAAGCAAGTTCCTCTCATCCAATGTAACACCACAAACCAAAGCTGATTTTCAATACCTGGCTTGATCTGGAAGAAAAAAAAATAAATCTAAATCCCTCCTGGCTTTAAGTAAGAAAAAGAAAAGTTACAGCAAATAGCATGCTGCAGGCAACATAACAATTTCCTCTCTCATATCTTCTCTCCTGTAGCCAAAAGAAATATCAGTGTCTCAGGGAAAAAAATACCACCTGCACATTGTGAGTTCAAGAGTATTGCTATACTTTTTCCCATGGTAGCACCTCATTATTCAAGTCCCAAGTACCAAGATCCTTAGATCTATTTAGAAGGCAGCAAGTTTTATACGAGAAAAAGACAGACTCCCTAGATTAAAATACAACTCTACATACCAGTAACATTAAGTACAATGACATTCAGAAGAGTTCTTGGTAGCATCCCTTCTTGATCCAAGTATGACAGGACAGAAAGGACGAGATCCACTACAGTCACACAGGATTAAAGACTCTGCTGCCATTACATAAATGGCAGACTGGCTAGACAGTCTTTACAGATCCAACAAATGCTTGACCTGTATTTAAAATGTAAGGCACTAATAAAAATTTTGCAAGGACATGATAGATCAGGGGAAAAAAACCACCCAAATTTAGAAAACCAAACTTCTGTAAAAGATGTCTATTTTAATCCTTAAGACATAAGAAACAAGATTAGAATCAGGCAACTGATATTTTCTCTTGGTACTTCAAAAACTTCAACCAAAAAGCATCATAACAGATGCTATAAAAAATAACAAAACAGTAAAGGCTTAACGTTAGTATTTGTCAGAAGACTGCAAGAGCAACATTATCTCACACCTCATTGTCCAAAGGATATGCAGAAAGCCAAAGGCTCTGAATATATTTAGTAATGCCCTAGAAAAAGCTGGTGAAGTATCAGAAACCTTTGAGTGAATCCTGGCTATCCTAGGGATGTTCTAATTTTTATGAAGTGCATTAAAGTAGTACTTCCCCCAGCAAAACACCATTAGCTGTGCTGTATATAAGTTTTGGAATAAAAAACTTTTAGCTCCACAGGCTGAGTTAAAATGTGTAAAAGTTGACAGGTAGCATAAAAATTACATTCATCAAGTCCCCAGAAAACCATCCTTCTGAGGAACACAAGACAGCAGCAAATGGCTCTGCAGGAACAGCTGACTCATCGCTGATGCAAGATACTGAACATATGAAGATATAATTCATGGAAACTACTGGGTTCCAAGTGAAAGGTATATTTTTAGGCAATAAAGCTGGAAGATAAGAGACAATTGATTAAAACTGCCTGAGATACATAAAGTATCTGAGTACTTCTATGTATAAAAAAATGAATGGTAAGTAGTACTAAATATCACCACAAAATATGATGGCATGTCCTCATCTTGGACGCTATTTCCGTTTCTTAAAATATTAATATTTAGAAATAAAAATTACAATTTTCACTATAAAAATTAGCAATTGATGGGGTTTTTTTAGCACAAAGAGTTAATTGGATGCTCATTTACTTTAATATAAGAACAAAAACACACATGAAACTAATGAGAACACCTTGAACGTAAGCAAAAAGAAACTAATTGCAGAACATTGTAATGCCCAAGAAAACATCAGGACAGAATATAGTACCAAAATCAAAAGCTCAAAAGAATTTTAAAAAAATTAAAACTTAAGGCACTTGTGGTAGGGTTTGTGGGGAGAGGCATCACTTTTTATGTTTACAATATAGTAGGATTAATTAGACACACTCTGACACATAAACACTTAAGTTCTTTACTTATAAATATACATTAAGTTGAAAATAAATACTTGTGAGGATAAATTTTATTATTTCTGGACAAAAAATCCTCCCACAAACAGTGGCACTCTCACTTTCTGCACCAGGAAGAGAGCATTGCCACAGCAGCACTGTAAAATCTCACCACAGTGTAAGCCAGTGAGTGAGCAGTACGCAAGGCAAGAGTGGACACAACGCCGGTGGTGTGAGAGGCTATCCTCCAGCCTGTATCCAGAAGTCACGTGTATCAGCTGTGTTGTGTCCTGCATGGATTCCCAAATACCATGCCATTTTCTCCCAAGAAGCCCCTGTCAGAAGATGAACTGCAAGGGCTACCCTTCCCTCATCCTGCAAGCTATAGGGAGTCACAGGGGACTCCTAAGTGACAATACCAACTGCAGAAACCGCACCTCCACCAGACCTTTCAAGTACATCCCTCACCATCTATGATACCCAACTGGCACCCTCTTATACCCTCCAACATCAGTTTGTACAAGAGAAGGGTATCGCTCCTTTACCCAAATGCACACAAATGCATGTATGCTCTGTTTAATCACACCTTGAACTTCTGCAGCATTGTCAGGTGTGTATTTGGTGGCTGAGTGCAAGATGGAGAACCCTCCTTGGCCTGTTGGATGCCCAGCATGGAGAGGGTCTGCATCATCTGCTACAAAGCATCTTGTGAAGGTGCTCACAGCTCAACCCTCTGTAGCAGGACAGGGCGTTCCCCTGTTCACACACCCAGCCTGGACCTACTACTCTCATCTGGCCACAAGTTATTGCACAATGGACAAGTACAAAACACTACCTACAACCCTACAGATTCAGGTGGGACTTTTAAGGCTACTATACAGGACCTAAATCATCTAACACTCATCAGGCTTTATGAGTTATCATAGTCTAAAGACAGGTCTTCCTTTCCAGAGAAATCACTTATTAGGACCCTGGCTCAACAACCAACCCATATTTGTTTAACACCTCTGGTGCAGTTTCACCTCCCCCCTCCTTATCTCTCCCATCCTAGGAGGTGGAGTGCTGATTAGTACATCTGTTTACTGACACTTTCCAAGTAATTGCTTCCATTTCATCACAACACAAAAGGACTTCAGCATGGACTTCTACTCCAGATGACTTCCTAAAGGCATCTTAGTACACTCCTACTTTCTCAAATACTGACATCCCTACCAAGTCTCTTGACAGCATATAAAGCTTTCCCTAGTTAATCCTGTAATAACACATACAGGAAATTATTTTCTTCCTATTTGGAAAAACTGTATTGCTTGCCTTTTGGGTACAGGCAGAACTGAGACAGCTGCTGTCATCAATGATTATTATCTAATTATGTGTCATGCAGCAGATCTGCGCAGACATGGCCAAGCGCTGTGCATAAATGAGGAGCTTGCACTGCATGAATGATAATCATCTTGCAAGTAAAATATTACTCAAGCAATTTATCTTTCATTTATGATAAATCCTCACACAGACCAGTATTAGCTTTTGTATTCCGTGAGTCTTTTCACATCAAGCATAGAAATGGTCAATATGACCAAACCCAAAGAACTTTTTTCAAACATGTCAATCCTATACGTGTCAGGCCTTAATGATATGTTGAGGACAAGATAACATAAAATCCTTACTATATTCAACCGCATGTGGCAATGTATATGCAACGTGCACACTGCAGGCAGGACAAAAACCATTTCGCATTTTGAGAATTTGCTAATACTTGATAACTATTAAATTCCACCTAAAATACAACATTCTGTACCTAATGCAAAGAAAAGCCATTTGATAAAAAATAATTTTAGAAATTTAAAATCAAGAAATAATGATACAGGGTAAAAGCATGACAACATCTGCCTTTTGGAAACTGCATCCTTTATTTATGTGACATTAGGAGGTATCTTTTTTAATGCTAACTGATCAGATCTCCACAAAAATAAGATCTTTTGATAAGACATTAGCTATAAGAACTATTTTAATTTTAAGAAAATTAAATAAAATCAGCTGTTTTCTTTTGTAAACTAGGTAAAAAGCTGACCGATCCTTCAAATATATCATTACAGAGGTAATAAACATTGAGTTATGAAAAGGAATTAAGTAGATACAAATGATAAACAGCAAATGTCAAATAGCCTAAAGATACTGAGAAACACCTAGATTACATTTACGAAATACACATTAAGGTATTTTTATAATAGGATGGCTGATTTACTTCATAAATCAGTTTTGCAAATTTAGTTTAGGACTTATAAAAACCCCAAAGAAATCAGAATACATAGCTGCATAGCAAACGATTACTTTTTGCAGAACTGTAAGTTACAAAAAGAAGGGAAAATCCAAGTTATATTTTACAGAGCTCATTTCACTCCCAAATTTATATAAATGCATACCACCTCTTACATTTACTCTACAAAGGTGGGAGAGGGGAAGTTACCTGAGGGCAAGGTATTCAGACATAAGGCCCCTACTCCTGGTGAAAGTAAGTGGTCAGTTCCCATGGCTTCTGAGAAGCTTCTGGTACTCATTTTGGTAGTAAGGACATTCACAGCAAACCAATCTCCACCAGAGCCATCTGGGATCGCTGCAGGGAATGGGACACAGGGAACACACAAGGGATCAAGTTCAAAGGGAAAAAGGAGTGATACAATAATGTAAGAGAGTTTTAGTTGAAGATAACTACAGTTAAAACAGTTTGTTACACATCATGACATTATAGAACTCTAAAGGAAACAGACCTACGTAAAATACTAGATTCCCATAAGAATATCCCTTGCTGTCTGATACTACAATACTGCAGCCCCATTAAATGAACAGCTTATGGAGAAAATTGTAATCATGCAGAAAAGATCTATATAATATAACCAAGTGGTTACAGAGATATATTTTCAGTAAGTATATTTGGGAGATGAGAAGGAAGATAGCCCAGAGATGCAGCATAAGAGGGTTTTATTTTACTTTTAAATGGGATGCAACTTTTCAGTTTTGTTTTGCCTATCCTAAGATTTCTCATCCCACATTATTTGTTCCTATTCACAGTGTCTCAACCTCAGCTATTCAAAATTCACACTAAAGAAACCTGATCCTACAGGGACTTCTGGATTTGTTTTTGCATTTGGGGTGGTGCTACAAAAACCTGCACACATCTGACATTCTGATTTTGCAGGCTATGAAATTTTAGCAAATGTTTCTCAAAAAAAAAAAAGAGAGTTTTCTGTTAACTGTCTTCACTTTGAAGAGATGCCTCAGCCTAAATGTAATTAATTCCAACACTTACGGGTATGATAAAATCCAAGCATTTGGACAGTGCCGTTGGTAGGCAGTTTGCTGGGATATTTGAACAGCATTTAAGAGATTTATCACTAAAGTGAATTACAGACACTTAGTTACAAATTATTATTTTTCTCAGGTTTCCAGATCCCCAGCAATGAGAGAAACTACAACATGAAAAGTGCCCTAGAAGTAAGCAACCACGTAACTTTCACATTCCTGGGTAGCTGTATCCCAAGGTTGCTTCTTAACAGAAGCAGCAAACAACTCTGTGGAAAAAAAAAGCTCTGGCAATCTCAAGTTTTATGGTAAAGCTGCATGGCAGACCTGCCACGAAATTCGTGCTGGGGACATGCTTCCTACATCAAGGCTCATACATCCACCCAGAGGAGGCTGGAAGTACCAAAAGCCACAGCCTGAGCTGTTTTTTTCTCATGAAAAAAAGAGACAATGAAGAGATGTGAATCCTGGTTAGTACCAGCTCCACAAAGGTATACAGAACTCCCACATAAGCTCCTGGATTGAGAAACCTGGGTTGCCCCGCAAGAAGCCAAACCTGAGATATGTTAAGCAGTTACTTGTTAGCACTTATTCTCGTGATTTGCAAAAAATCTGTGAAATAAATCACTTCGTGTAGGCCTTTATAATTCCATTAATGTTTCACCAAAAAATAAAACAAGACACTTTAACAAGCACGTGTCACTCTGGAAGTTTAATACATAATTTTATCTTCCTTTGATATTAAAAAAAACAAACAAAAACAAACGCACCAAGGCTTTGGCAGGAGAAATAACACATTTCAAAAAAATGTAACTGTGGGCTTTGTTTTGATTCTTACATACTCAATAACCACTTGAACTTAAGAGACAATTTTATTCCTCACAGGCTTATTCAAATATCGTTTTTTTCCCTGAGAATGCTTCATACTACCATGTCAGCTACTTGAATACAGTGATCTTCGACATTATTTTTGATGTGAAACTTATTTCCCACTAAAATTATTCTGAGAATTGTTTAAAAAAATTATTACAGACATGTAAAATGTTGCTAATTAATTCTGCTGATTGTGCAAATGCACTAATTTTTATTATGTATACACAGGAGTTGTCAAACTTCAGCAGAACTTTAGTTGTACAAATACAATGTCTGTAGACTCAGCATCCAGATTTATAACACATTTGCAAAAATAATCTAAAACAAACTGAAAAGTGGAAGTCAAATTCTGTCAAATACTGAAAGCTTGAGATCTATCTGAGATGTAACAAAAGATTCAGTATCAACTCTTAATAAATGTAATGATTAAGAATTCTACCAGAAAATACATTATTGCCTGTTTATCTCCAAAATACCTTCATAATTTCATAAAGCACCATGGTAATTTCAGTTTGGATTATGGAAGATATTCTGTCACAGAAGCTTAAAATGCAGTATGATGCATGAAGCTACCAACAAAACAGAAGAAAGTGAAAGTTTTCTATTTCTCTTGAAAAAAACATTTACTGATTCCTTTGCTCATGAAAACATTACCAACACATTCACACAGACAAAACTGTTGGTATGAAATCTCCACTTAAATACTAAAAGTATTGAATTTCAAACATATGGGAATTTAAGACATACAGGATAATAATGAAAGTTTAATTTAAACTTCCTCCTCGTTCTGCTGTCTCAAGCAGTTCTGCTTTACCACCTGTTGTTTTTCAGGCTTGTTCTTTCATTAAGTGCAGCACTTGTTTAAGACAGACATAATGCTAACACTCTCCATAAGCATTCAGATTCAATACAGATTCATTCAGGACAACATAGGTTGTTATGCCTACATTGTGTTCTGCAATTTTCCCACATACTATTCAAGCCAGTAAAGTCAGTCATGTAGAATACACTCTGTAAAATCAGTACAAGCAAAGAGAGAAGTGGCAAAGTGCACATTTTGTGTTCTTTGGCTGCTAAATGAAGTAGATAACTTCCACAAAACTAAAGTAACATAGAAGTGGAAGACACAAAACTGAAAATAAGCAAAAAACCTCTCTTATTTTGCTACCAGCAGAAGCTTCAAACTTCATCCAAACAATTTTGGTAATTTACTTACAGGAAGGAATTCTAGCCAAATACATTCCACATTCTACCCAAATAAAGGTGTTACACTGGTATATTCTAAAAGGAGTCGCTTCAGATCTCTTGAGATGGTAACATCCCTCACCAATCAGGCATGTCTTACTGGTATAAAAGCAGGGAAATATGCAGGGTAAATATTTAGGTAAGACATGTATCAGTGGAGTTGTACCAAATCATGTAGGATATCACTGCTCATATCAGGATCAGCTGATCCTGATATCCACATAATTAGTATGCTATTCTTTGTAAACCCAATATTCATATGAGCTTTACAATGATTTCCTGACTATGAAGTGAAAACCATTGTCACAAAATTCATGTAATTTTTTTCTATTGAAATCTTAGTATGCTCACATCCTTTGCTTCAGGTGAGCAAAAGCAAAGGTCTAAGTTTACACAGAACATTAACTAATGACACAACTGAAAACAATTTGGGTTTCTGCCATACCAAAGAGTTTTAAAAGTCTTACTGTTTTCTTTGTGAAAACAGCAAATAAGACACAAAGAAAGAATGTCATTTCAAGTTGAACTATGTGCTATCATTGATAAACTTAAGAGTTAATATCTAATTGAGATGAAGAATGTCATATTCAGTGGGGCTACTTAACATAGAGGCAAAGTTTGTAAGCTTAACTTCATGGTTTTTAGACATATTTTGATAAACAAAACTGTTTTTCACAGAAAGGCATGGATAACATGGATAATGCAGATACACAGAAGACTCAGACTGCTCATTAACTAGAGAGTAAATTTCAGTGATACTAAAAGTCAAAACCAAAAAAACACCTGGAAATACCCTCATACAAGTCTGTATTAATAACACCTGATCTCTATCTTGGATATACACAACTCAAGATTCAAAGCCCTGACATAGAGATCCCCTTATAACCACAGACAGTATAACAGTAACACCACAGTGAGCTTGTGTAGGGCAATCTAGATTCCTATTGGAAATCTTTAACACCATTGTTTCATACAGTTATCCACAAAGTCTAAAGAAGGAATGCTGAAGGATATCTGTTATCATCATAACAGAGCACTGAACAGGAAAACCTGCAAGAAAAGGTGATGAAATCTCTCACCCATTGAAAATATGTAACAGCATGGATGAAGATTCAACACAAGTTTCAGTTCACGGGGAACTCTTCACAGAAAGAGTAAGTGATCCCAATGCTACAGAGAAGACTTTTCCTAGGCACAGTGTGTCTTTCCTATCTTTGTAAAGGATGATGCCATTATCCAGACACTTGTTTCATTTCAGGGCACATATATTACAAAACAAAGACACTCCATCATCCGCATTCACCAAAACCTCACCTAACACAATATGGAGCTGACAAAAATTCAAGCCTCCTAATGACAAAATCATCTCTACAGCTTAGCTGCTACATTTAGTTTCATATTCCACGGCATGCACCATGTAATCTGAAGAGCAACAAAAAAACGTGTACTTTATTCCTACTCCTTCCCTCCTTCTCATTTTCTACCACAGCCTCAGAAAAGAGCAGTGCATGTCAAAGATAGAGGACATTTTTAAAAATTTTAAAAGACTGAGAAAGCAAAAAACTCATCACCAGATCCTGATATAAGTTTGTTACAAGTTGAGTAAAACAAGCTTTATTACCTTCACTGTTCTTAAGATGTAACATAGCAATAAGTAAAACCCTTTATAAAGATAAAAAGTAATTCAGATATCAAAGCTGTTTCAAAATGCAGTTTGGGTTGTCTTCCTCTTCTTGTTCTCAGACCCTAAAGATTCATACCTATGCAAAATTTTTCCTGGCTAACAAATGTAGAATGATAAGGCTCCTTCACAATGCCAGAGATCATTATCAGTTCATCTAAAAGCACTGTGAGCTGCTAAATGGAAACTGCACTATTAAATGACACAATGCTTTTAAATTTGCAAACACAGTATCTAGATATTAAAAAAGCTGCAAATTGCTAACATGTGATTAACTGATATTGCAGCAATCTTCATGGCAAACATTGCCAAATCAATGATGATTTTGGGGGAGATGGACAAGACCTCTAGAGAGCCCTTCCAACCTCAACTGGTCTGTGATTGGTGGCATAAAATGAAAGTACTTCTCTGTAACTGAAGGAACAAGTTCTTATCTTCTATTTTTTCTTCGAAGTACATATTAGATTTGTCTTTGTTCAAACATAAAGAGAAATACAATCATTAAAAATTAAAGTAAATTGAGGTAACGGTAACTCTTTCCACTATTCCTTTATTACATATGGACCTCTTTCAATAGATTGTAATCCTGTCACTAATACCTGCTTTGTTGAAGATGACAAACAGGCAGCAGTTTCAAGGAACTATGACAATTGCAGAACAGAAACCAACAGAAATAGAGTAAAAAGTGAGTGTCTCTGTATTGCAGGAAATTCCTTATGCATTTGGCTCCATAATCATGTTCTCACAAAACATACTAAAGAAAATCCTGAAATAATATTATGATTTTTGTTGAAATATTGAGCTCCTGAAATTTAAAAAGCCACTAGATTTACAGTGCCTGTGTCACTTGAATTCTGTTTTCCTGAACAACCCACTTCTACAACCCACTGAAGCACAGCGAAAGAAAGTAGAAAGAAAACATTACCTGATCATGTGATTAAGAACACTCATAACAAGGGGTTTAACAATGCTGTCTGTATTTTAGGTAGCAAACACACTTTCAATGTCAACACATTACGGATCATGAGCCTCAACTTCAACTTGGAAAGCTCAGATCATCTGTCATATTCCGTAAGCTTCCTAAAAGTGATGAAATGTGTCATAATCACTTGACATAGCCTAGTTGCATAAGCATTATCACAACACATGAGAAAGCAAACACAGATTTATCAACACTAAAAAGTACTTAGTTCTAATGTACTCAGCTGTTTATTTGAAAAACTAGACAAAAAGCAGCTCATCTTACTGCTGCCTAGGTCCCAGGCACATTTCAGAGTCTAACCTGTAGTGCAGAGTCTAGAGTTCACTCCTCTTTCCATACAGCTTGCTATATAGCACTATAGGACGCAAACTGTTAAATTCAGCTATTCCATGCACACTTCTGATTAGAAAGCTGACTCAAGGCTGATGACATCTTCACACTGCACTTCCATTCACACAGTGCTCAGCTATTTTCATGTGAGGACAAGATTTCTTTATCAGCATTCCCAGCTACATAACTCATGAATAGGACAAAGAAGATGCTTCATACATCATGTTTAGCAGATAGATATCAAAGGATTTGGAATGAGAATTGTGTTTTCCATGTGCATCAACAACAGATTAGTCAAATGACAATCTGTCATTTCATTTGGTTTGATTTCCTCTATAAACATTTTCAGAAATACCACACAAAAGTAGAATAAAACATTTCAGAAAAAATAAGCAAAAAATGGAACAGTATTTCAGGTTATATGTTTTAAGATAGAAAAGTAAGCTCTGAAGAATTAGCAACGCTGTGGTATCATGACATACCAAATACCTAACAGGTTTTTGCCTCTCTTTAGAAAACCTTGAGAAAAATGTGATGTGGCTTTTCAAAACTGTATCAATCAGATTGTGTACTTTCTGCAGTTTCTCCATCTTTCAAACACACGACATTGACAGCCACAAAATTTTACCGCAGGTTTGGTTGGTTGGTTTTTTTTTGCTTTAACCCGCGAAGCACGTTAGACATGATTTCAGTCACGCAGAAAACGACGAACTTATTTTCATTCCTCTGCGCGCACTCGGACGCACCTTTTTTGTCGCCCGGCTTCACCTGTGTCTGCAAGAGCTCAGACTGAGCTGCAAGGACACAGGCCGAGCTCCCTCAGCCCCGGCCAGACAGCGCACGGGGGCGGCTGCTGTAACCCCCCTCCCCCGCCGCCTCGGGACCACGGTGAGGTTCGGGGTGTTCCCCGCTCCTCTCCCTCAGCACACCTCGAGCAGCGGGGGCGGGCACCGTCTGCCCGGCGGGGAGGCGGCCGGAGCCCGGCGGTGACTCACTCGATGACTCCCTCCTGCGCCAGGCGCACCGACCCCCTCCTCGCCCGCCCGCCGGGCACCGGCTGAGGGGGCCACGGGACAGCCAAGCGGCTGTCGCCGCCGGACAGTCCCACATGAGCACACGGCCACCCCCTCCGCCTCCAAATCACTGCGAGGAGGCGGCTCCAACTCCACCCTCCGCGAGCAGAATGAAGCCCGGTCCCTCCGTCCCGCACTGGCCCCGGGGGCCGCTCTCCGGGATAGGGACCCGCCGCCTCCCCCGCCCTGCACACCCTTCAGCCTGCCCAGGGCACCGCGCCCCACTGACCTAGAGAGATGCTTCAGGATCTGCTTCTTGATAATCCCCGCCATGGTGTCTCTCTGCTCGCGCCCCTCACGACAACCAGCCGGGACCAGGAACGCGCCTCATCCCTCTGCGCGCCCCTGCCCGAGGCGGGGAGAGCGCCGGGAGCGGAGCCGCTGTCCCCGCTCGCGCTCACTCAGTGCCCGCCGCCATCTTGGCTGCAGCATCGCCCGGTGACGGGGGCGGGACGGGCCCGCAGCCTCCGCCCCGCACGGGGAGCGGCGGCCCCGGCGGGCGGAGTGGGGCAGGGTCGGGGCAGCGGGAGCGGCGCCTCCTCCACTTGCTCGCTTGCAGAGCTTGGGCAGCGCCGCCGCCCGGGCTCAGCGCCCACAGCCTGTGCCCGCCTCAGTGCCAGCGCCCCCCTTTTCCCCGCTCTCCTCCGCCAGCTGTTTTTTTCATCCCTCTTCAGCCTTCCCATCTCCAAAACTCTGAAAGCGTCTCTTTGCGTCCCCGCCTGTGGTTCTATCCTTCCTCCCGCCTGTGGAGCGTGTCCCAACAGCCGCACACCTTTGCATGGGCCTGATCTTGGCCGAGCTAAAAGACAGGATGGCAGCAGGTTCTACAGCACCAGACAAATGGAATATGGCTAGATAAGGTGAAGAGCTTACTGTCAGAAACTTATAAGGCTATGGCAATACATTCTTATATATACACACACATATATTTCCCTTAAGCTGAATTTCTCAAACCCAGAGACTTGTAAAATCATATTTCTCCAGTGCTTATATTTCACTGGGTATCTGTGGCAAGTATAAAAACTATGAGTTATTTTACTTCTGAAAGAACAGCTTATCATGCTGTAGCAAAATCTCCAACTTAGTTAAAAAATAATTGTCTTATAATAGTTTTGTTCATCCAGTAACCCTCTTCTCTGGTGGTCCCTCATTCAGAAAAGGTATCTTGAAGAGTTTCAGTGGTGGGTAACCAAGGACCCTAAAAAGTAGTATTAATTGGGAAAAGAAAAAGAAAAAAATTATCAGTTAGAAAACTAACAAGCTTTTCAGACGTGACCTCCATATGAAGGATGGCTTGCTGCCTCTGTAATAGTCTAGAGCTGCAGAGGAAAGACATCAGATAGTATTTTCTCTGCTTCTCATATGCATAACATTAATAATTTACAAGCAGTGAACCAAAACCCCAAGGACCTTTAAGTCAGAAATATGAAGCAGTAATAGAAAAAACAGGTCAGGAGATGAACATTTTCAATTGATTTTTCCAGACATTTAAAAAACAGTCAGTTGTGTAATACTGACCTCATTATATTCTTAAAAGAGATTTATAAAGTAGAAATGAGCTGTGTATGAAGCTAACACTTTATGCCTGTTTTAAGTTCAATTTTCTCAACTAGGAAAAAATCTACCAGTATCATGGAGAAACAATGCTCATCATTGTGATGGATCAGCTTCTTATCAAGAGAGAAAATATGAGGGGCAAGGAAAGCAGGACCCATGCTGCGTGTTCTCTTTCAAATGTCTTGCAAGCATAGCACTGACAGAACGGGGGAAGTCCTGAGGCTCTTCACTGATGTCAGAACCAAAAACCAGAAATATTTCTGTGCAGCAGGGCTGATCTGAATTGTAACCTCATGTTATCCCCCTCATCTCCTGGAGCACACTGAATGGAGGAACAGAGGAAAACACACAGATCAATACAGACCACATAACACATTCTCCCCACCCCCTACGGAATTAGAAGGGCACCAACTTTCCATGTTGATTTCAGACCTACCCAGTCACCATGGACCTGCCTGGTGATCTCTGGACTATGTCTGACTCTTACTCATCCCACTAGTCCTGATCCTGCCCCTGACTTGAGGATTGACTTAGCTTGATGTTGGACCTGCTATATCATCAGCTTGATGACCTGGGCTCTGGGCCTCGCTCCCACCCTTGCCAACCTTGTTCCCTGGCTGGGGGTGGTGGGATAGGCTCTTTCTAGCAAGGTCCTACCCTGCTGGCCACAGTATCCCTTGCAGCTCCTGGCTTCCCTCCCTTATCTAGCAGCTGGCACTCATGTTACCAAGAAAGAACCCCACTTGTGAGTGTGTCCAGGATACTAAAATGATCTCACAGAAAAAAATTGTCTTATACTTCCCATAGGTATTTTCAAGGCCAAATTGTGAACACTTTTGATTTAACAGAAAACCCAAGAAGGCATGGATGTAGAGTTTTCCATCAGGCAGTCACCTCACCCATCAACCTGCCCCTCACTGTCACCTAAATAAAGGTAGAAGGATTCGAAGTCCTGGATAACGCCCTCTGTGTCAAAGGGTGCAATAACTTCTTCCTCAAGGACAACTTCCTTTGGATGTTCTAAACAACCTGCAAATTCTGTACGTGGCACCATTCAGTCATTCCAAGGCTGCATGTTCCCACAGGGCAGAGCAAACAAGCACCTGTGGTTTGTATAGGGTGTGCGGAGGGAGTTTGACTTTTCATGTCATAGGGATTTCTGAACTGTAAAACCTGGAATGGAATTCAGAGGAAAAAAAAAACAAAAAACAAACATGAAGGTCACAGAATTAGCAAAAAAAAAATTGTTTTTTCCCCCAATAAAGGAGATGTGGTTAAAAAAACCCCCAAAACCAACAAAACACGACAAATTAAATGTGACCTAAGTTTCAGTGAATGCTTTGTACCATACTTGCAGAATGAGAAATTTGGCATGGCTTCATATGGATAATGCAAAAGATAATGGTCTGTTTTCAAATGCAGATGTGCAAGGCTTAAGCAGTCTGACAGACCATTATTCAAAGAGCATCACAAAATATCAATTCTCACTGTTGTAAGGGGCAATGTACAAGGTTTGCTGCTGCATGGACTTTTGAAAGTCCTATTTATGTGTCCTTGCTGTGTGGCTGACTTTGTCTTTGTTACGTACTCTAACAACAACAACAGAAAGTATTATCAGAAGTGCCATTGCAATACATGAGTGAATGTGTAAACAAACTCAATAAATATGTATGAATTGCCCTCAGGTAGCAGTGACAGTAAATATACCAACTTTAGTTCCAAGAGATTTTAAATATTTATGTATATCAACCACTACACATAAATCTAAGTGAACTCTTAATAGCCTGGCACTTGTCCTGTAGGTCCTGGAAAAAAAAAAAAGAAAGAAAAAAGTGAAACTAACTCTGAATCCAACATAAGTCATTGAATGATAACAGATGAAGTTTCATAGAACTGAAGCTAGTATCTAGAAGGGAAAAAGTAATTTACAAAATTCTGGCTTTCACCTTTGTTTTTACAAGGCAAAAGTTAGCAATAGCAATTATGATTTTTTTAGTCTAAACTATTCTTTTAAGAAGTTTATATGAGTAAAAGGATGAAGTAAAAGTTATGTAATTTTAACAGTAATATTTTATGTTTCTCTTTAACACTGAATACTTAAATAATTTGTTACTATTCTATGTTTTATGTATTTTGAATTTTAATTACAAACCCCAAATTTACTATTACTATACCTGTCAGTAGGCAAAGAAGGAGAACTAACAACACTTTACAGTGTTCTTTAAATGCACCCAGAAACTCCTAAACTGGAAAAACAGGCTTTTGCTAATTCCTCTGACCTCTCCTCAAGAACCAAATAATGTATCTGCTAGAGTGAGGATTAAGGATGCTGTCCTTAAGATACACTTCCTTTACAAGAACATAAAGAGGATTTGTCTAAAATCAGATTGCTGTGCATTCCAATAAGCATCCTGGCTCACAGAAAGACATTTGATATTTGTTGGGGTAAAGAGTCGTCATACAGAGCAGCAGTTATTTTTAAGTTCTCATATTTACAGGAAAGTCAATTATACACAGATACAAAAGAGTAGTGCACTTTTTTAACTGGATAAGAAAAAAGATACTAGTTATGGTAAGTAAAACATATAAGGACAGCAAAATTCATCATCAAGAGAAGTGCAAGGTACTGCACTTGAGACAACATACCCACAGAGCCCAGTGCAGGCTCAGACCTGGGTAGCAGGAGAAACAGCCTTGCAGAAAAGGATCTGGGGGTCCAGGTGGACAGCAGGATGAACAGGAGTCAGCAGTACACTGCTGCAGCAACAAAGGCAAAACAGATCCTGGGCTGCACCTAGAGAACTCCAACACTGCTTTTTATATTATTTACAATAAAATAGTGTTAATTACAGCATGCTTAGAACACCTCCTTTCTACCTGGCGGTTGTAGCCAGGTGGGGGTTGGCCCCTTCTCCCAGACAACCAGCTGCAGGGCGAGAGCACATAGTCTTAAGCTGTGCCCGAGGAGGTTTAGGTTGAGCAGTAGGAAGAGTTTCTTCACAGGACAGGTGATTAGGCATTGGAAATGACTGTGCAGGGAGGTGGTGGAGTCACTGTCCCTAGAGGTGTTTAAGGACTGGATATGGCACTTGGTGCCGTGGTCTAGATTATATGGTGGTTGGACCTGATGATCTCAAAGGTCTTTTTCAATCTAACTGACTCTGTGATTCTGTAACATTAAAATAATGATGGTGGGATTTAAAGAGTCGTCTCTCTTTTCATTTTGTCACACTCTCACAGAGCGCAGCCCCGTGTTGCTGCTCACTTCCCACATCACGTGATTGTCGAACACCACCTTTCTCCCCGAGGCGCGGGTTTCCCGTATGGCAGCACCCCGAACTGCCAGGAACACCCGAGGCCACAGCATCCCCTCGAGTGGGCGGTAACTGTAACACACCCCCGACCTCAGCTCTCGCCGTGAGGGCCCCGCCCGGTCCCCAGCGGTCGCTGCCGCCCCCGCGGGGCTGACGGCGGCCGGGGCAGGGTCTGTGCGCGCAGGCAGGCGCGGTGGGCGGCAGTGACGGGCGCTGTCCGCGGCGACGCCGTGTCACCGCCCCGCCCGCCCCTTTGCCGAGCGCTGCCGGGTCACGCCCGGCCAATGGCGTCGCAGCCCCACGAGCGTCACCGGCACGGCGGGCGGCACCAGGCGGAGGCGGAGCGCTGCCGGCACCCCCGCGTCCCGACGGGCCACGCGCGCTGCTCCTCCGCTCTATGGTCACCATAGAGATCCACGGCGGTGGCGGATCAATACTGGGACGGCGGCGGCCGTGGCGCCGTGGGGAACATGGCGACGCTGGTGCTGGATAACGGCGCCTACAACGCCAAGATCGGCTACAGCCACGCGAACGTCAGGTGAGGGACCGGGCGGGCGTTGCGCGTCCCCTCATGGCTCCCGCCGGCCCCAGCGCGGATACGACCCGCCTCTCGGCCCCTCACCGGCCCGCGCCTGCGCCTGCCGCCGAGAGGCGCGGCCTGCCCCCGCCCTGCCCCTGCGGCGGCTGCGGGCCCCGCCCCTGCGGCGCGCGCCTATGGGCCGGTGAGGGTGTCTTATTGTGTCCCGTCGTGTCATGTTGTACCACAACGTGTCACACCGTACCCCAGCGTGTCACACTGTTCCTCACCGTGTCACACTGTACCACGGTGTGCTCCACTGTGTCACACCATGTCCTGCCGTGCCCCACCGTGTCACAACATGTTCCTTCATGTCATACCATGCCCCACCGGCCAGGGTGGGAGAAGAGCCCCTGACACTTTTCTGATTGAACTGGTGGCGGGGGGGTGGTGGTTGCAGCTCGGCAACCACCAGCAACTCAGCAACTCAGTGGCTGGGGGGGTTTGCTTTTCAAAAAGGTGTCTTGTCTGCACTGGAGGTGCCAGAAATTGGAGATTTCCCTCATAACTAGCTCCAGTAAATGGACTAAACCCAAAATACAGCAGCAAAAACATTATTGAATATATACTATTTTTGCAAGTGGCATAAAGACAATTAATGTGTCTCATACCATGTTGAATAGGAAACTTCCCAATCTTTTCCAGCGTTATTCCCAACTGTCAGTTCAGATCAAAGACTGCACGTTTGAAAACCTTTACAGCAAATCAACTGGATGAAATTAAGGATCCTTCTGGTCTTTTTTATATTCTTCCCTTTCAGAAAGTAAGTAAGTAATCCTCAGTTTAACATGAAAGCTAAATGTAAATTTTTGTAAGGAATAGTTTTCATACAATATACCCCAGCTGCAGGGTTGTATGTGGTATTATCCAAGAATCAGAGTCAGTAGTGTGAAGTTTAAGAGTCATGGAATTGTTCAGGTTGAAAAAGACCTTTAAGATCATCAAATCCAATTGTTAACCCTGCATTGTCCAGTCCATCATTAAGCCATGTCCCTAAGTGCCACATCTGCACATCTTCTGAATACCTCCAGGGATGGTGACTCAACCAATTCCCTAGACAGCCTGTTTCAGTGCTTGACAGCCTTGTTGGTGAGAAAATGTTTCCTAATAGCCAATCTAAACCTCCCAGGGGCACCTTGAGGCCATTTCCTCTTGTACTGTTGCTTGTTACTTGGGAGAAGAGGCCAGCCCCCACCTCACTACAGGCTCCTTTCAGGTAGTGGTAGAGAGCAATAAGTCCCCCCTGAACCTCCTTTTCTCCAGGCTAAACAGCCTCCTTCAGCTGTTTCTCATAAGATTTGTTCTCTGAACCTTTCACCAGCTGCGTTGCCTTTCTCTGGACTCGCGTCAGAACCTCAATGTCTTGTAGTGAGGGGCCCAAAGCTGAACACAGGATTTGAGGTGCAGCCTCACCAGTGCAGAGCACAGGAGGACAATCACTTCCCTGGTCCTGCTGGCCACACTATTTCTGATAAAAGCCAGGATGCCATTGGCCTTCTTGGCCACCTCATCACACTGCTGGCTCATGTTCAGCTGCTGTCAACCAGCACCCCCAGGTCCTTTTCCACTGGGCAGCTTTTCAGCCACGCTGCCCCCAGCCTGTAGCCCTGCGTGGGGTTGTTGTGACCCAAGTGCAGGACCCAACCCAATACTTGGCCTCATTGAACCTCACACAACTGGCCTCAGCCCATCAATCCAGCCTGTCCAGATCCCTCTACATAGCCTTCCTGCCCTCCAACAAATCAACACTTCCATCCAACTTTGTGTTGTCTGTGAACTTACTGAGGGTACACCCAATCCTCTTGTCCAGGTTGACAATAGAGATATTAAACAGGACTGGCCCCAATACTGAGCCCTGGGGAACACCACTGGTGACTGGATGCCAACTGGATGTGGCACCATTCACCACCACTCTGGGCCCAGCCTTCCAGCCAGTTTTTTACCCAGAAAAGAGCACACTCATCCAAGCCATGAGCAGCCAGCTCAGACTTGACTGACTTTACTAAGGTCCAGGTAGACAACATCCACATCCATTCCTTCCTCCACTCAGCAGGTCACCTTGTCACAGAAGGAGGTCAGGTTAGTCAAGCTTTAATAAACCCGTGCTGACTGGACCTGGTTGCTTGTTTGTTCTGTACATGCTGTGTGAAGGCACTCCAGATAATCTGCTCCATAACCACTTCTGGCACCGTGGGCGGACTGACAGGCTTCTGCCAAAGAGAATAATGTATACAGAAAACACAGTTTACGTTGTTTTTGTAGAGTAGTAATTAACATATCAATGGGGAATATTTATAACATACTTTATGCTATGTAACATTTACTCCTTAGCCTAGAAATGCAAATTTAAACATTTTAACTCTCCAAACTTTTTATATTACAGTCTATCAATCATTTGACCTTTTTTTTAAGTATGATTTTATTTTTTCTAAATAGTGTAAATTTTTTTCTAAATTCCTACAGGGTTACTTGGTGAACTGGGATGTCCAGAGACAGGTTTGGGATTATCTTTTTGGAAAAGAAATGTATCAAGTAAGAGTCTTTTCTTAATTACCTGTTTTGTGTACATTAAATACTGACTAATAAAATTCACATAAGTACCTCAAATATTAAAATAGAACTGGGGAGCTTACTGTTCTCTTTGAAATCACAGGGATTTATGGTTTTACAAACTGAAGAAAAACAATAATCACAGACAGATACAGTGTGGTTTAGAGATCAAGAAATAGTTAATGTACAAGAGAGGGATGAACTAGGTCAGTAGGCCAAAATATATTGGTGTAATGACAATCTTAATATATTTTTCATAGGTGGATTTTGTAGATACCAATATTATTATTACCGAACCTTATTTTAACTTCAGTTCAATACAAGAATCTATGAATGAAATTCTATTTGAAGAATATCAATTTCAAGCAGTTCTTAGAGTAAATGGTGAGTCTGTCTCCTTCTAGTTTGCATTTATATATCTTGAAGCTTAACCTTTTTAAAATAAACAAATAAATACATACATAAAAAGCATGCATGCATACGCAAATACATATATGTGTGTGTATATATATATATTTTTATATAAAGATAGTATAAAAATTCCTTAATTTCCTTCCTGGCTCTTGAGTAATATACTTGTACGTGTACTCTTAACTGTATTAAAATTTTAAAAGTTGTTTATTTTATAAATTCCAGCTGTACTATTGTACTATTTTCTGAAGAGAGTGTCATGGTATGTAATTACAAGAAATTTGAGGAGAGTAAGGATGACAGAAATAACAGATGTATTTTAACACAGGATAGCATTTGAAGAAGTCTACCAAAAATTTGCATGAAGTCTTTGATAGCGTTCTATTTTTGGGGGTCTGAGGTTGGTTTTTTGTTTGGTTTTGTATTAGCAAATCAAATGCAGCATTACGATTATGAAATATATTGTATCTCACAGGGAATATGTAAATAACATCACCACCCTTCTGGAAGGTAACAGGACATGGGATACTCCTTTATATATGTTTGATAAGTTGTGGCATGATCAGTGTGCTTGGACTTTAGGAGGGGAAACTCAATGTGGACCAGAATTCCTGAAAAAGATTGAATGGGGCCATATACAACACTTGATTTCATCCACTGTCAAAATGAATTCATGAGTTGACTGTAGTATTATGTATTGAGGTCTTGGAAGTCTGTCAAAGGCATTTAAAAGACGAAGCAAGTACACTTTCATATCACTATAAATTCTAAAAGTGTATATTCACATAAAAATGGAATTAAATTTTCTGTATTTCAGCTGGAGCTCTTAGTGCACACAGGTATTTCCGAGATAATCCATCTGAGCTGTGTTGTATCATTGTGGATAGTGGATACTCTTTTACACACATTGTACCTTATTGTAGAAGTAAAAAGAAGAAAGAGGCAATCATAAGGTAAACTGCAGTGTATATTTTCTAGAAGAATTGTTTTCTATGCCCGAAGTTAATAATGACAGAATGCCTTGTGTTACTCCTTTTCTGTAGGATTAATGTTGGAGGGAAACTCTTAACCAACCATTTAAAGGAGATCATCTCTTACAGGTAAAGCATGCTGATCTTCACTATGAAACTTGGTATGAAATGAGCTAAAAGTTCATGGGGTATTCTTCCTGTTCCTATGAATTTTAGATTAAATGCTGTTTAAAGGAGAAGGGAATTTTTTTCTGTTATAATCTGCTAGCTGCCATCTTGACCTTCAGCTCAGGATGAATTAAGATGAGTTTTAAGAATTAGGCTGTTATTTTTCAAAGTGCCCGCGCTTTTGAAGTTGATGAGGTTAGCTGTGTGTTCACAATTATACAAGTCTTTACATGTTTTCTGAGGTGTCTCAGTAGATCATCAGTCAGTTTGCCAACTATCAATAACACAAAATTCAATAGGGTCAACTTTTCACTGTGATGCTATAGCTTAGAACTTTATCTAGGTAAAGGTCTTTGCTAAGAGAGCTAATTGCTGGATTATGGCTATGCTTGTTAGGAAGACAATGGGCAAATGCAGGTTAATATTTGTATTTACTGAACTGTGAAATAGGAAAATACTGAACTCCAGTAGGCCGGGAATGCATTTGTAAATTGAATACGAGTTTTAGGTATTGAGGCACTAGTTTTCTGTGACATGAAAACGATGGTTACTCATCTCCAGTGGAAAACTGGACAGGAAATGGAAGACTTGATTATTCTCAAACTTCAGTGTTTTTGGTTTTTGGTTTTGTCAGACAGCTACATGTTATGGATGAAACACATGTAATTAATCAAGTAAAAGAAGATGTGTGCTATGTTTCTCAAGACTTTTACAAGGACATGGACATTGCCAAGTATGTATGCAGCGGTACT